TGTTGTGTTTATCAGTCCATTCTTTTTTATTGCCGAGTAGCCCATGTTTCAGAGTATATCAGTTTGTATAAACATTCATCCACTGAAGGACATCTGAATTTCCAGTTTTTAGCTGTTATGAATATAATATAATATATTATGAATCTTATAATGCTGTAATCATTCATTTGAAGGTTTTGTTTTAACATATGTCTTCATTTCTCTGGGATAAATTCCCAGGAATGCTATTGCAGGATTGTATGGTAGTTGCGTGTTTAGGTTTTAAGAAATTGCCAAACTGTTTTCCAGAGTCACAGTCCCATTTTATATTTCTACCAGTAATATATGACTGATCCAGTTTCACCACAAACTTGCCAGCATTTGCTATTAATACTGTTTGAGTCATTCTGATAGGTAGCCATTATTTCTTCAAGTATTTTTTCAGCCTTGCCCTCTTTCTCTTCTTCTGGGACTTCAATGACACAAATAGCTCTGTTCAGTTTTTTTTTTTTTTTCTTCAGTCTATTTTTCTTTCCTGTTATTTAAATTTGGGTATTTTCTATTGTTTTATCTTTTAGTTCACTGATTCTATTGTTCCTTCCATTCTGTTATTGAGCCCAACCATTATTTTTTTTTCAGTTCTAAGATTTCTAGTTGGTTCTTCTTCTTTTTTTTTTTTTTAAGATTTTATTTATTTACCTGAGAGAGAGAGCACGAGTGGGGGTGGGGAAGGGCAGAGGGAAAGGGACAAGCAGACTCGATGAGCAGGGAGCCCAGCACAGGGCTCAATCCCAGGACCCAAAGATCATGACCTGAGCCAAAGGCAGACACTTAACTGACTGAGCCACCCAGGTGCCCCATTTGGTTCTTTATATTTTCTATTTCTTTGCTGAGGCTTTCTATTTTTTATTGCTTTTGAGCATGTTTATAATTGCTCACGTGCATTTTTATGATGGCTTCTTTAAAATCTGTCAAATAGGGACGCCTGGGTGGCTCAGTTGGTTAAGTGTCTACCTTTGGCTCAGGTCATGATCCCAGGGTGCTGGGATCAAGCCCCACATCAGGCTCCCCACTGAGCAGGGAGCCCGCTTCTTCCTCTCCCTCTACTGCTCCCCCTGCTTGTTCTCTCTCTCTCTGACAAATAAATAAATAAAATCTTCAAAAAAATAAAATCTGTCAAATAATTTTAACATTTTCTGTTATCTCAGTGTTGACATCTATAGATTTTCTTTTTTTCATCCTTGGTATGACGAGTGATTTTTTATTGAAATCTGGACATTTAGGATATTAGGAGACTTTTCTGTTTTGGTTTGTGTCTCTGACACCACTCCAGCAGGGGAAGGTAGAGGCACTGCCTTGTTATTGCCAGATTGGGGTAAATGTTCTGGTTCCCACTTGACTTCTGTTGACACCCAAGATATGGGACTTCTCATCATTGTTATGCAGGGAATGGCATTCTGGTTCCCCACTAGGATTCTGTTGATATCTCCCTAGCTGAGAGGGGTGTGAATACCTCATTTCTCTCCCCAGTTGGCCTCCACTGATACCATGTTGGGGTGAGGTGGCCTCATTACTGTTGGGCAGTAGTGAAAGTCTTGATTCTTCATCAGGCTTTGTTTGAGACCAACCCAGTAGGAAAAGGGAGGAGCACCTCATTACTGCCAAATGAATGTGAAAGTCCAGGCTCCCCACATGGTATCCATTGCCATCATAGGGGAAAGAGTGGTTCTTACCGCCCAACATGGATGAAAATCCTGGCTCCCTACTCAGACTTCTCTAACACCTCCCTGTGGGGAGATTGGAGCAACTAGTTAAAGCTAGCAAGGGTAAAAGTCTAGGCTCCCCTCATGGCATTTGCTGGTATGGGGGAGGGTGGGACCACAGTCTTTTCTGTGGTATTTGGCTGAAGTAAAGTAGTTCTTGTCTAAAAGTTTTCTGTCTTGCTAAACTTTTTTCCTGGTTCTTTAGCTACAATGAGATGATTTTTTTTGGAGCTGTTTTTTTTGTTTGTTTTTTGTTTTTTAAAGATTTTATTTATTTATTTGACAGAGAGAGACACAGCGAGAGAGGGAACACAAGCAGGGGGAGTGGGAGAGGGAGAAGCAGGCTTCCCGCGGAGCAGGGAGCCCGATGCGGGGCTCGATCCCAGGACCCTGGGATCATGACCTGAGCCGAAGGCAGACGCTTAACAACTGAGCCACCCAGGCGCCCTGTTTTTGTTTTTTTTTTGTCTCCGCTTCTCAGCATTTCTGGGTTACCAACTTCTTCAACTTTAAGTCTGGGATATATGGAGCAAGAAAAAAACTCAGGAACCTCACCATATCATTTTTGGGGTCCCAAGGTCCCTGGCTGATCTGCTTTTCTTCCCTTTATCTTTCAGCGTTATCTAGCCCTAACTTACCTTCCCACCTCATTTCTTGCCTCTCCGCACTTGCGTGCTTAAATCTCCGGGATTGCATCATGTTCTCAGTCATATCTAGGTCTTTACTAATGTTCTTCCCCTCTTTATCAGGGAAACATCTTATAGCTCTGCCTGTTTCTCACGTTCAAGCAATGTAGAACTACTTGCCATTTTCTAACTATGTGTTGTGCTTTTACATCTCTGAGGCCTTTTGGGGGGGCATTTTAAAATGGAGATAAAATTGACATATAACATATTAGTTTCAGGTGTACAACATGATTTGATATATGTATGCTAAGGCTTTGTTTATGCTATTTATTCTTCCTTTAATACAACCCTTCTTTCTCCATCCTTGAATTTTTCCTTCATCTTCGAAGGACTTACTCAAAGATTACCTCTGCTGTTGAATCTTTCTAGATCTTCAGGAATGATGGGTTGCTTCTTTTTCTTTGTTTCCATGGTACTTTGTACTTGACTCTGATACAACATAGATCTCATTTTGTTACACTGTTTGAGATTTTCACTCCGTGGAATTTTGAATTCTTTGAGTATAGGGGGCATGTCTTAATTTTCTTTGTATACACATTTGATAGTGTTTGACATATAATAATTGTTTAATAACTGTTCAATGGCTGGAACCTTACTATGAAATGTACTCCCCTGAAATAGAATTTTAAGACTATCTCTAGAACCGCACTGCCCAATAGAAATATAACATGAGCCACAAATGTGAGGCACGTATATAATTTTATTTTATTATTTTTTTAAGATTTTATTTATTTGTCAGAGGGAGAGAGAGAGCATAAGCAGGGGGAGGAGAAGAGGGAGAAGCAGGCCCCCCACTGAGCAGGGAGCCCAACACAGGGCTCGATCCCAAGACCCTGAGATCATGACCTGTGCTGAAGGCAGACGCTTAGCTGACTGAGCCACCCCAGGGACCCCCACATATATAATTTTAAATTTACTAGTGGCCACATTTTAAAAGTAGAAACTGGTGAAACTAATTCATAATTTTATTCAACCCAATGTATCCAAAATACCATTTAACATGTAGTCAATATGAAAGTTATTAATGAGATATTTTACATTTTTTGTACTAAATCTTCAAAATCTGTTGTATATTTTACACTTACAGCATACCTCAGTTTGGACTATCTGCATTTCGAGTGCTCAGTAGTTGTGTGTGGCTAGTAACTACTGGTTTGGACAGTATAGCTCTAGAATAATGGAGTTCCTAATATATAATCCTTTTTGTCCACTGTGACAGGTAAAGGTTTTTCTTGATTTTAACTTTTTTTTTTAAGATTTTATTTATTTATTTGACAGAGAGAGCGAGAGCAGGAACACAAGCAGCAGGAGTGGGAGAGGGAGAGCAGGCTTCCCGCCGAGGAGGGAGCCTGATGTGGGACTCGATCCCAGGACCCTGGGATCATGACCTGAGCCGAAGGCAGACACTTAACAACTGAGCCACCCAGGCGCCCCGATTTTAACTCTTTAACCACGAATAAGTCTGCAGAATCCACTAGAAAGCAGTGTTCCCTTTAAAAAAATACTTTAGTTCTAATATAAGGGTGACTAAGCTAGCAGCCCAAGCTGTATCTTTAGTATGAGTCTCCAGAGGTGCCGCTTAGAGTTCTTCCCTTGACTCCAGGCTATTTATTTACCTGGTCCTAACTGTTCACTCACCCTAGACTGTTCTTAGGCTGTCTTTTATTGGCATGGCTGTTACTTTCACAGGAAATATTTCATTGATATGGTGATATGGTTGAGATTGATGTGGTTCCAAAGCATCATATACTTTCTTGCACTATTAATTGCTAGTCGGGTAGATCTCTAAGGGACTTTAAGAGGTTCCTGTATCCACTTTATTTGAATTTATGTGACAGAAAGTGACTATAACCTCTAGATCCTTTTAATAAGATTTTAGATCTAGCCAGTGATCTCAATGTAGATATGTATGTGCTAAATATATGTGTGTATATATATGTTTGTGTGTGTAATAATGTATTATAGTGAAATTGAAGGATAGACTAGTAATGTATTGGTAACAAATTAATTCCCCAAATTCAATAGCTTAACATAAAGTTTGTTTATACCTCACTCAAATGCTGCAAGTCCATGGAGGGCTCTGCTCCATGGTCACTCTTGCCAAGCTGATGGAGGCTCTACTCTCAGAAATCTATACTGTCTAGAACTTGAAGACTCCTTATTTGTCATAGCAGGAAAAGGTAGCGTAGGAAATCATGCACTGGCTCTCAGGTGCTTCAGCCTATAGGCCATTGGTCAGAACTAGGCACATGGCCCCATCTAATTCCAAGGATGGGCTGGGAAATGTAGCTGTCTGCGTGTCCAGGAAGACAAGTAGAACCAGATGTTAGTGAATATCTGCAATATCTACCATAGTCACTCACTAGCCCCATGATCTTGGAAAGCCACTTTTCTCAGCCCTAGTTTACTCATCTATAAGTTGTAATAATAATATTCTTACGTCATGGAATTGTTATGTATATTAAATGAAATATTTTTACATGGGTGTGCTTTGGAGATGTAAAGTGTGCTGGAAATTTTAGCTGTTCTTTAATTATCTTTTGAAATTAAAGTGCTGCTTATTTTTTTCCAGGTCTACTGAATGATGGAACTGTAGGTATTTTCAGGGGCAACCAGATGCGCTTAAAGCGTGCTTGCATTCGGAAAGCCAAGATCTCTGCTGTTGCTTTCCGGAAAGCTTTCTGCCATCACAAGTTAGTGGAACTTGATGCTACAGGTGTGAATGCAGACATCACGATTACAGACATCATCAGTGGGCTTGGCAGTAACAAATGGATCCAGCAAAATCTCCAGTGCCTCGTGCTGAACTCATTAACTCTTTCCCTCGAAGATCCTTATGAGCGGTGCTTCAGCCGGCTTTCTGGCCTTCGAGCATTAAGCATTACCAATGTTCTCTTTTACAATGAAGACCTCGCTGAAGTTGCCTCATTGCCAAGATTAGAGAGCCTGGATATTTCTAACACCTCAATCACAGACATCACAGCTTTGCTGGCCTGCAAAGACCGACTCAAGTCTCTAACCATGCACCACTTGAAATGTTTAAAAATGACAACTACCCAGATACTGGATGTTGTTCGGGAACTAAAACATCTGAATCATCTTGATATTTCAGATGACAAACAGTTTACATCAGACATAGCTCTTCGCTTACTAGAACAAAAGGATATCCTACCCAACCTTGTCTCCCTAGATGTTTCTGGGAGAAAGCACGTGACAGATAAAGCTGTTGAAGCCTTCATACAACAACGGCCCAGCATGCAGTTTGTAGGTTTGCTGGCCACTGATGCAGGTTACTCTGAATTCCTCACCGGTGAAGGACATTTGAAGGTTAGACTTTTAAAATGTATTATTTTGTCAGGCTGACCGATGTCTTAGCTGCATAAGGCTCCATTAAGATGAATGTCTAACAATATATGGAACATGTCTGCGAAAAACGGCGTTGTATAGTGGAAAGGGCTTGCTTTAGAGTCAGAGAATCCCAATTAATATCCTAGCTTGCTTGCTTTGTGACCCAGACCAAGATAAGGATGTAACTTTTTGGGTTTCCATTTCTTTATTTATAAAACAGATATTCTATCTAACAGAATTCTTCTAAAGATTAATAATTGTATATGTAAAGTGCAAGTCACGTAGTAGGCCTTGGATAAATGATAGTTTTCATGATGGTAATATTTAGATATTTTGAACCACTGTAACATACCGTTTCTAATTGGTCACTTTAAAAAACTAAGGATACTCCTTGTTGAATTGATATCCATTGGGAAGTCAAGTTCTCCAAGGAGATCTTTACTGTAGAAGTGGTGCAATTTTGCTTTTCTTAAGGTGTTTCATGCCTAATGATTTAAATTTGTCTGCTTGGTACTTGGGATTCAAAGATGAAAAAGATACAGGATCTGCCTTCAAGGAGCTTAGTCTTGGTGATGATACAATCATAAATAACTATAAACCCAAAGATCAGTGTAATGAGTAGAAGAAATTTCTTCCAGCTGGAGAATTTGGGGCTTGATGGAAAAGATGGTATCTGAGTCAGACCTTGAAGGATACAATTGTGACAAGTTTAAGGAAAACTAATATTTTTCTAATATACACTGTGAATCCTCTAGAAGCCTTATATTGATAGGTATTTGCCTCATTTTACAGATGAGAAACATAGACTCAGAAGTTATATGATTTAGGGCGCCTGGGTGGCTCAGTTGGTTGGGCGACTGCCTTTGGCTCGGCTCATGGTCCTGGAGTCCCAGGATCGAGTCCCGCATCGGGCTCTGTGCTCAGCAGGGAGTCTGCTTCTCCCTCTGACCATCTCCCCTCTCATGCTCTCTCTATCTCATTCTCTCTCTCAAATAAATAAATAAAATCTTTAAAAAAAAATTATATGATTTACAGTTAGAACCAACATTTGGATTTACATGTAATTCCAGAGCCCCATTTTTTCCCCCTACTGCCTACACTTAATTAAGCAGAAGCATCCTTTGATCCTACCTGGAGCAGAGTCAGGGATGGCCTAGAAGTGGATATTGTGACCCAAAAGGCAAGGTATCTTTTTTGAGTAATCATGACAGATTCAAAAAAGGAGAAGGAAAGGTTAGTTGTAAATATCTTATAAACATCTTAGTTCTTAGGTTATTTGTAAATTTAGACCTTAAAAAATAGAATGTAGAAAATGATTTTGAGTTACTCTTTTTTATTCATTCAATATTTTATCAAGTGCTGGGCACTGTGCTGGGCATGGGGATTTGATGGTGGGGCCAAACAGACATGATTTTGCCCTCATGGAGCTTGTAATTTAGTGAGGGAGTCAAGCAATCAAATACCATGTGCCAAATGTGTGTGCGTGTGCTTTAAATATACATAAACACATATACTTAAATATATATATCACATACATATATATGTATATCATATATACATGCCTGTATATAGGCTTTAAACTATATTGTGCTAAAATCTAGAAGATAATGCAGTATTATATATGAGAGTGTTTAACAGAGAGACTTGACTTAATTTAAGGCTTCTCTGAAGAATTGATGAATGAGTGGAGATCTTAAGGGTGAGTAGCTTGGTAGAGAACATTCCAGGCAGAGAGAATAATATATGCAAAATATGTGTGGTAGGAAGGAGCACAGTACATCCAAGGAACTGAAAGAAAGGCCACTGTGGCTAGAGCTCAACAGTAGAAAGTCACAGAGCAATGAGATGAGGCTGGAAAAGTAGGCACCAGGGCCAGACTTGGAAAGGTCGCATAAGCCAGGTGCAGGGCAACAAGAAGTGTGAGGACCTTACTTAACAACTTGTTATAGAACAAAACAGATTTTTAGCACAGGGCTTGTTGATGAAGGAAATATAAAAACGTAAATTACTATTGTAATGTTACTTAACTGCCTAACAAATTGGTCTAATAGTAAAGAATTCTAAAAATTAAAAGGGGAAGAAATCCCTGTGTGCTGGGAGTTAAGGGAGAATTTCCGAGATGAGGTGAGCTTGACCTTCATCCTAAAGGATGAAAGGAATGTGTCCCTGGTATGTTAAGCTAAATAATATTCTTAAGGCAAAGATCCTATAATAGGTATGATTCCAGAGCAGTACAGTTTTTGCTTATTTCTTCTTACAACCAACAGACCCTCCAGTGAATTAGACTAAGTTATAAAATTGAGACTAGTAGGACATCTGTATTTCACAATGCCTCTGTGAAACAAGTTTGTGGGGTTTTTTTTGTTTTTTATTTTTTATATTTTATTCTTTTTTGTGAAACAAGTTTGATTTCACAAATGGAGCCGTTATTACTTTGAAATATTGACCATATGAAACACCTACTTTATTTGGTATCATTATCTAGTTTCCTCCTCTGTAAACATTGAAGTAGTGATTCTCAACCTGGACTACAATTAAAATCACCTGGAGTGTAATTATGTGAAATGATGGATATGTTAACCAACCTTATGGTAATCATTTCCCAATATATACATGTATCAAATCATCATGTTGTACACCTTAAACTTACACAATGACATATGTCAATTATATCTTGATAAAGCTGGGGGAAATATTTATTTATTTATTTATTTATTATTTCTTAAAGATTTTATTTTTAGGTAATCTCTATACCCAACGTGGGGCTCAAACTCACGACCCCAAGATCAAGAGTCACATGCTTTAGGGGCACCTGACTCTTGATTTCAGCTCAGGTCATGATTTCCGGGTTGTGGGATCGAGCCTCACGTGGGTCTCTCCACTGGGCATGGAGCCTGCTTGGGATTCTCTCTCTACCCCTCCTCCCCCACCAAAAAAAAAAAAAAGTCACATGCTCTACCAACTGAGCCAGCCACACACCCCTGGGGAAAAAAAAAATTTTTTTTTAAATTTTATTTATTTGACAGAGAGACACAGCGAGAGAGGGAACACCAGCAGGCTTCCCGCAGAGCAGGGAGCCCGATGCGGGGCTCAATCCCAGGACCCTGGGATCATGATCTGAGCCAAAGGCAGACGCTTAATGACTGAGCCACTCATGCGCCCCAAAAAATTTTTAATTAAAAGAAATCACTTGTGGAGCTTGAACAATTAAATCAGAACCACAGGGAGGTAGCACTCAGGCATCAGTATTTTCTAAAGCTCCTTAGGTGATTGCAATATTCCAGCCAAAGTTGAGAATCATTGTTTTAAAAGAATTTTTTTTTTTTTTAAGAGATCACTGGGGGCGCTGGTTAAACGTCTGTCTTCAGCTCAGGTCATGATCCCGGGGTCCTGGGATTGAGCCCCACATCGGGCTCCCTGCTCAGTGAGGAGGCCTGCTTCTCCCTCTGCCTACTCTGCCTGCAACTCCTCCTGCTTGTGCTCTCTCTGTCTCTCTCTCAAATAAATAAATGAAATCTTTAAAAAAAAAAAAGAGGGCGCCTGCGTCGCTCAGTCGTTGGGTGGCTGCCTTCCGCTCGGGTCGTGATCCCAGGGTCCTGGGATCGAGCCCCCCATCAGGCTCCCTGCCCTGCGGGAGGCCTGCTTCTCCCTCTCCCACTCCCCCTGCTGGTGTTCCCTCTCTCGCTGTGTTTCTCTCTGTCAAATAAAAATAAATAAATAAATAAAATCTTTTTTAAAAATTAAAAAAAAAGAGGTCATTGGGGGGCACCTTACTGGCTCAGTTGGAAGAGCATGGGACTCTTGATCTTGGGGTATGAGGTCAACCCCATGTTAGGTGTAGAGATTACTCAAATCAAAACAAAACACAAACTTAAAAAGAGATCATTGAACTTTCCCTTTTGTTCAACTATATACAAAAATTGATGTTCTTTTTAAATTATTTACTGATTTGAGAACTGAAAAATAGTAAGTCATGTTAAGGGAGGAGAGCTGAGATTGCCACATCTCCTTTTTAAAAATTGTCCAGTTTAGGGCGCCTGGGTGGCTCAGTTGGTTAAGCGACTGCCTTCGGCTCAGGTCATGGGATCCCAGGGTCCTGGGATCGAGTCCCACATCAGGCTTCCCCTGCTCTGCGGGGAGCCTGCTTCTCCCTTTGCCTCTGCCTGCCACTCCCCTGCTTGTGCTCTCTCTCTCTCTCTGTGTCAAATAAATAAATAAAATCTTAAAAAAAAAAATTGTCCAGTTTAGCAAAGTTGTTGAAACACTTGTCTGAAATGATTGTTTTAGGATTGTGATGCTTTAAATTAGTTGAGGGGGCACCTGGGTGGCACAGTCAGTTAAGCATCTGATTCTTGGTTTTGGCTCAGGTCATCATCTCAGGGTTGTGAGATCAACCCCGCCACCCCAACCACCATGTCAGGCTCTGCAGTCAGTGCAGAGTCTCCTTAGGTTTCTCTTTCCCTCTCCCTCTGTGCCCCTCCCCAAATCCAAACAAACACACAAATAAGTGAATATTTTTAAAAAATTAATAAATTGAGGTTGGCTTTTTGGCATTACATGTCTTGTTTTTTTAGGCCACACTAAGGAATGCAAGAATTAGAGACACTGTGACTCCCCAGTACTCTTTATAAGGCATTGTATAGTACTCTGAGTGGGTGGTTATAAGAACAAGAGGTTTGTTTTTTGCACTTTCATGTGTATTACTTAGTTTGATCTCTTGACTGTGTGAGAGAGGTATTATTGTCCTCAGGGGGAATGGCTTTAAGGGTGACAGCCAGCTAATACTGGAGTCTGCCTTTGTATCTTGGACTGTTTGATTCCAAAGCATGTGTCCTTTCCACTACATCACATTGTCTCTGTTGGAGAATCTTAGTTCTTTACTTTCCCCTCAATTTCTAGTCCCAACACAGAGGGTTTTCTTACCATAGAATTTCTAACTCTGTCATTGTTTCCCCACCCAATTTGCTCTTCTGTCACCATCAGTTTTCTGAACCTTCCATTTTTCCACAACTAGGATTCGTTGGCCATCTCATTCCCAGACTTTGGGGTTATCTACTAAGCTGTGGTTCCAGTTCCTGAGAATCACTGGAAATGTGCAAAACTCAATATTCTCATTTTTACTTAGCTTCCTAGATATCACTCTTATCTTTTTTTCAAGCTTTTCTGACTACCATGCTTAATTTCCTTTATTGGTTCTTTCTCATTTCCCAGGTCTCTAAATATTTAAAAATTTCTCGGTCCTTAGATCTATATGCTAGACTTCTCCCTTGAACTAAGACTCCTATATTGAACTGCAGTAATCAATACGCAGTGAAGATCCATATAAGTCTTTAGGCAGAAGAGGTGATCCATTTCAAAAAACATTTACTAAGTACTTTTTATTTTATTTTTTTTAATTTTAATTTTAATTTTTTAAAGGTTTTATTTATTTGACAGAGACACAGCGAGAGAGGGAATACAAGCAGGGGGAGTGGGAGAAGGAGAAGCAGGCTTCCCACTGAGCAGGGAGCCCAATGCGGGGCCAATCCCAGGACCCCAGGATCATGACCTGAGCCGAAGGCAGACGCTTAACTGACTGAGCCACCTAGTTGCCCCTGTTTTATTTTTTTTAATTTTTTAAAGATTTTATTTATTTATTTGAGAGAGAGAGAGAGCAGGGGGGAAGGGCAGAAGGAGAGGGAGAGAGAGTCTTAAGCAGACTCTGCACTGAGCATGGAGCCTGACACAGGGCTCGATCTCCTGACCCTGAGATCATGACCTAAGCCAAAACCATGAGTTGGACTCTTAACTGACTGGGCCACCTGGGTGCCCCACCTCTATTTTAAATTGTTTGCAGAAACCGGTACATACAGATACTTGTTTTTTTATCATCTAGTATATGAAATTGGTTGAATTGAAGATGCTTGTAGTTTGAGGAGTCAGACTACTTGACTTGAGGGTTTATCACTGGCTAGAGAAGTATTTTTTTTTTTTTAGAAAGATTTCTTTTTTTTTTTTTAAAGATTTTATTTATTTATTTGAGAGACAGAGAATGAGAGACAGAGAGCATGAGAGGGAGGAGGGTCAGAGGGAGAAGCAGACTCCCCGCCGAGCAGGGAGCCTGATGCGGGACTCGATCCCGAGACTCCAGGATCATGACCTGAGCCGAAGGCAGTCGCTTAACCAACTGAGCCACCCAGGCGCCCACTGGCTAGAGAAGTATTGATCACTGAATAAAACATACATGCAATGAAATTCATTTAGAATATTTAACATTCCAGTAACAAAGTTCTTTTTTTTAAATATATATTTTTTAATTTTATTTATTTATTCAACAGAGAGTGAGAGAGTATAAGCAGAGGGAGCAGTAGGGGGAGAGGAAGAAGCAGGCTTCCCACTGAGCAGGGAGCCTGACGCGGAGCTTGATCCCAGCACCCTGAGATCATGACCTGAGCCGAAGGCAGACGCTTAACCATCTGAGCCACCCAGGCACCCCGAAAGTTCTTTAATTTTACATTCAAAGATAACTTGAGGCTGTATTTCATATAGATATTATAAAGCAGTTGAATCAACCAAATATGGGTAAATTAAGTCTTACTGAGATAATCGTTAAACATTTTCCCTCTTACAGTCTTTTTTATTTCACACAGTATTTCACTGTCTTTACAAATCAAAAAAAATCTAAGAGAAAGTTCAGGGGTCCTGGGATCGAGCCCCACATAGGGCTTCCGGCTCAATGGGGAGTCTGCTTCTCCCTCTTCCCTCTGCCCCCCCCCCCACTCACGCGCGCACATGCACGCTCTCTCTCTCAAATAAATAAATAAATAAATAAATAAATAAAATCTTAAAGTAACCACTACACCAAATGTGGGGCTTAACTCACAACTGAGATCAGGAGTTGCATGCTTTACCAACTGAGCCAGCCAGGTGTCCCTGAACAGAATCTCTTGATGCTGAATGGGAGCTAGATAAATCTGGGGGAATTAATTGACACAGTTATTTGGTGAATACTTATTGAGCGCTTATTCTAAACCACACATAATGCTAATTGTTGGGGTACAGTGGTGAATGGATCAGTTGAGTGGGGGGATTATGATAATGGTTATGAAGGAGATGTTTAGGGAGACCTGATTTAGATTGGTGGGTCAGGAAAAGCCTCCCTAAAGAAGTGTCATTTAACTTGAATAGGGAAGGATGACTAGAAATTAGTCAAAGAAAGAGGAAGATTTCAGTCAGAGAAGATGTTATATATAATGGCCTTTTGCTGGGAAAGAGCTTGGCTTATTGAAAGATCAGGAAAAAAAGGCCAGTGTAGCTTTAACATGAGTTGAGGGGAATTAAGGAGTTACTCTAAGAGACAGATAAGGGCCTAATCACATGGTAAGGCTTTATAAATAGTGTTAAATATCTTAAGATTTACTTAAGGTGCAGTATAGAAAATGTTAACTATAGGCTTATAGTAGGGTAAGTCTATCTAACATACATCTCTTTAGCACCTTCATAGGATGACTGTTCTGGGTGGGTTGGAAAGTAATCATTCGCATTTGTTTCAAGACTTAAATGGCTATCCTGGACGCCATGTATACAAATGATGTTTGGCTAGAGAAAGTTAGAGGGTTGAAGAAATCCTAAAAGCTAATCTTATGGCTATGTTCAAAGGTGTCTGGAGAAGCCAATGAAACTCAGATTGCAGAAGCATTGAAGCGCTACAGTGAGCGGGCATTCTTTGTCCGGGAAGCTCTATTTCACCTTTTTAGCCTGACTCATGTGATGGAAAAAACAAAGCCAGAAATTTTAAAGGTAAGAATAAGAAACTGGATACAAAAATTTTGAAATTATCTCCCTGGATACAGATGATGGCTTTGTGAAGAAAATTGGTGAAAATTTGCATTTGTCTTTGTTTGTTTGTTTGTTTGGTAATGGGATTGATGAGGTATGATTTCAGCTGTTAGCCATAAATGAGAAAGAGAGAAGGTAGTTGCCTAGTGTTATTGACGTTTTATAGTAGTGTCAGTAAGCGGTATAAATGCCTTCCACTTCACCTTTAACTACCTAAAACCAGTGACCAGTGTGAAACTTTTTTCACCATCTACAGTAGAAAATGGAAGTATATGACTGGAATCACAACACTGTATTGTATTGCTTCCATATGGACTTTTTAAAGAAATATAATATTGGAATTCCATAAGGTACCTTCCCATGCCACTTTTGAACCACCTGTGCTTTCATCATTAATTCATGATATTTCCCAATTAAAATCTTTTAACCAAGATAGCTTTTGAAGAGCAAGAAAGAAAGATTCTTTTTTTTTTTTTTTTAAGATTTTATCTATTTATTTGAGAGAGAGAATGAGAGAGAGAGTGAACATGAGAAGGGGGAGGGTCAGAGGGAGAAGCAGACTCCCTGCCGAGCAGGGAGCCCGATGCGGGACTCGATCCAGGGACTCCAGGATCATGACCTGAGCCGAAGGCAGTCACTTAACCAACTGAGCCACCCAGGTGCCCCAAGAAAGAAAGATTCTTAATTTTTGTTAATTGCTTAGGGTTGTGTTTATCAGATTGTGGTCCTTTGTCCACCAGAAGTCTGGAATATTATTTATTTTTAAAAGCATATTTGTGAACCCCACTCTAAGACATTTAGACTCAATTAGGCTGGATGAGGTACAAGAATCTGCATTTTAATAATCTCCCAAGATAATCCTAATACACATTTGAAACCAGTGAGTGTAGGACTGTATTATATTTGATGCCTCATTTAGTGGGCACAACAATTCCAATAGATAAGTTTTATCTTTTATTTTACGGATTGTGTAACTAAAGGTATGTGACAGTTAAGTAACAGTAAGTTAGTGGCAGAGCCAGAAATTACTTAACCACCCCGTTATCTTAAATTTTGAGAATGGGGTGCTTGGACAGAAACCAATAAAATTTCAGTCACTGGGATGTTATCTCTAACACCAGTCACCCTTCCATATATACCAGAGGATATTGGCACTTAGTATATGAATTATCTTTTTTTGGTTTTGGTTACTGTGAACCTGAGCAACAAAGGACCTCTAGTCCTGATCTGAAATATTTACTCATTCATTCATTCAGAGAATGGTGCAGAGAGAAATGAAAGAATATAGAGAATTCTTTTAAGGAATTTAGTTAGTTGCAAAGGAGAGCAGAGGAAAAAGATGGTAGTTGGCTGAGGAACTGTTTTTTTGTTTTTTGGGTTTTTTTCTTTAAGATGAGAGGAAAAATAGCTTTTTTGTATGCTGATATGAATGATCCAGTACAGAATAAAAAATTGATATAAGAGATAGAAGAACAGCCAAAGCAATGTCCTTGAGTAGACAAGAAGTGACAGATGTAGCATGTAAGTGGAGGGATTACCTTTAGAGGGGAACCCAAAAAGATAATTTATGGTAATAGGAAGGCAGCATATGCATGTTTATGTACTGATAAGGAGGATGCATGTAGTAGTGAGAATCTGAAGTTCTTTTCTGAATGTTTCAATTTTCTCAGTGTAATTGGAAGCAAGGTTCTTTAGCTGATAGTGACAATTGGGAGGATTTGTTGGGGTCTGAGGAGAGGGGAAAAGATGAGAAACAGTTATCTAGGCCAGAGGGAAGCAAATGGATTTTATTGTACTATAACTTTAGCAATGTTCTCAAGAAACTGAATGTTGGGGATTTGAAAGTGAAAAGTTTGCTACTGGTTTACTCTAAAATCAGTAAGAATTTATTTAGTGCTTAGCATATAAGAGGCACTGTACTAGGTCTGGGAAATACAAAGATGAGTTATCTGAATAGAAAAGATTCATTAGCCCTACAGAAAAATCCCTCGATATGAACAACTCGATACCTTCCTGGACCAGGTGGGCAGGAACTACGTGTTGATAAGTGATTGCTATGCCCTAGGCTCTTTGCACATGAGGATAAAAAAGATAAGACATCTTAGAAATTGTTACAGATCAACAAAGTAAAGTTTCTATGTTAAGAGGGCTGGTATTAATAATGTGAATAAAGAGAACTAATTTTTTTCCAGCTTGTGGTTACTGGGATGAGAAACCACCCTATGAATTTGCCAGTACAACTTGCTGCAAGCGCCTGTGTGTTTAACTTAACTAAGCAGGATCTTGCTGCAGGAATGCCTGTCCGACTCCTGGCTGATGTGACCCATTTGCTGCTCAAAGCTATGGAACATTTTCCCAATCACCAGCAGGTAAGCATGTGGGAATTCCTATTCAAATAGTCCTTTTAGTGTCCCCTACCCATCTTCTACCAACATACAGTTCAATTTAATAGACCAAGGCTGGAAATTAAAATGCCTTTGTAGACAGACGGTAAAGTAATAAATTTATGGTATGACTGAGTGTAGGAAAACAGAGAAGTAGAAAACTAAAGAGTACATTCCCTGCCTAAAAGTATTTAAATCCAAATGCTGAGGGAAATAGTGCAAACCATAAAAAACTCATCTTCCCCCTCAATCTTGACTTTGTGATAATTTCAGCAAATAGCCATAGCACATTTGTTCTGAGCCAGGCACTGTCAAGTACTGGCATACAGAAATGAGTAAGACGTGGGTTTTCTACTTCTAGCTGTATGGTGGGCTTCATAACCTGTCCTAGCCTCAGATGAAAATTGAAAATATAAAAATCATATTTTTAATTCTTAAAACTTAGCAGCCAGTTGGCAAGTTAATAAAAAATACTCAGAGGCCAAAAAATAAATCTCAAATAAATCTTTTTTAAAAAAAAATGGCAATCCAGATTGGTGAGTGGATCATTAAAGCCAGCTTCCCTCATTGAGGGCAGTTGCCAAATTGGATGAGCTTTAAGCTTTGTTTTTTGTGTGTGTGTTTTTTGTTTTAATTTTATTTATTTATTTGTCAGAGAGAGAGAGAGCAAAGGAGCACAAGCAGAGGGAGTGGCAGGCAGACTCTATCCTAGGACCCTGGGATCATGACCCGAGCTGAAGGCAGACGCTTAACTGACTGAGCCACCCAGGCATCCCTCGTTTTTTTTTAGATTTATTTATTTTTTTTAAGATTTTATTTATTTATTTTACAGAGAGAGTGAGAGCACAAGCAGGGGGAGCAGTAGAAGAGAGGGAGAAACAGGCTCCCCGCTGAGCAGAGAACCCGATGCGGGGCTGGATCCCAGGATCCTGGGATCATGGCCCAAGCTGAAGGCAGACACTTAACCATCTGAGCCACCCAGGAGCCCCAAGATTTATTTTAGAGAGTGAGCATGCATGTGTGTAGGTTCGGGGAGAAGTATAGGGAAAGGGAGAGAGAATCCTCAAGCAGACTCCCCGCTGAGAGTGGAGCATGTTTTGGGGCTCAATCCCAGGACCCTGAGATCTTGACCTGAGCTGAAATCAAGAGCTGGTCACTTAACCGACTGTGCCACCCAAGCACCCCTAGGCTTTGGTTTTTATGGCCTCTGGGAGCCAGGTGGATAGAGGACAAAGCAGGACCCACCCAAAGGTCACCGGAAGGGAGGGAGATTAGCTGATATTAATTCTTTTTATTATCCTGTCTCATCTAATAGAAAAGACAAAAATATGCGCAAGTAAATTCACATGGATCCAGTGGAAGTTAGTCTTTCAAAAGTAGGGAGGCAGAACAAAAGTTGTAAGAAATAATTGGTGTTTCATCAGTGATCTTCCTTTTTTTACAGAAGCTACACCTAGTTAAAAAATAACAAAACAATATTTTATTCAGGAATTTTTTTTCTCCCTTTGGTTCTTTAGTTACAGAAGAATTGCCTCCTTTCACTTTGCAGTGACCGGATCCTTCAAGATGTTCCATTCAACAGGCAAGTGTTAGCCCCAGAACTTAAAATGGGCCAAAATGGAATTTTAGAATTCTGTCTCGGGCCATTTCTTACCAGTTGGCATATCCTTGGTGTATAGTTAATCAAGTGGATGGGATTCTACACTACCTTAAAGAATGCTAACTCTACTTTCTCTCATTTAGTGTTTAGACATTCCTGTTAACAGATGGGCCTGTTTTCGTAGCCCTTTGCTTAAAAATTTATATTATTACAGTTTTTAGAATATCCACACAGTATTGTAGGCTGAAGAAACTGAGGCATATAGATTCAGTGTCTTGCTCATGGTTTTGTGTCTAGTAACTGCAAGGCTGGAAAGACTCAAGTCCAGTGTTCTTTTCTCTGTATCATACCTCTTATTATTATTGTTATTTGATACTGAATTATAGAAGAAACTTTTTAAGTAGAGGTTAAGGGAGGTTACATAGCTGGATTCAAGTAAATATAAAGTGTTCTTCCCTTGCTTTCTAAGATGTGATTTGAGAGCTAAAAAAGATTTTTTGTCATCTTACTATTTTAAATATAATTTTTAATGATGGTATTGAAAAAGAAAATATACTTATGATTTAATGAAACGTATATTTCTCAAGCAGCAATTTTACTGTGATTTATTTGGGTAACAGTACACTGTTATCTGGCACAGCTGAGGAATGAGATGTTCCATTTACTATTTCAAATAAATAGTTTGGATAAAAATATAACTACATATATCTCTCATGTAGATTACTAATTTTATTTTGTAAATACTGAGCATCTGTACTGATTACATGAAGTCATATGTAGGAAAGACATAGTCACTTTCCTAAAGAAAATTGTCAACTAACCCAGGGGTTGACAAACTTCTTTTAAAGGGCTAACTAATAATATTTTGGGCTTATTAGCCATAGGGTCTCTGTTGCAACTACTTAACTCAGCCATTGTACCTCCAAAGCAATTGAAGATGATATATACACAAATGGTTTTACTATGTTCCAATAAAACTTTAGAAAACAGGCAGCTGGACCCACAGCTATAAAATCACTATATGTAAGCTAACTTTACTTACCTCTGATCTAGCCAATACACTGCTAGATTTGAGCTTCTTTGTGGTCAGAGACTGTGATTGGTTAATCTCTTTGTCTCTAGTGCTTAAGTGGATGTTTGATGGATGAATGAATGAAAAATGAGTATGACAGAAGACAGAATTTTTCATAGAAGAAGATGACAGAATGCATTGGGCCCCCAAACGAGGAGGGAAAGATTTCATCTGATTGGTGATCATTAAAGATTTCATGTTAGTGATGGCATTTGAGATAATAAAGATAACGACTAACCTGTATAAAGCACTTCTATTGCCAAGCACTGTGCTAAGTGTTTCACATATGTTTATTCAGTCCATACAAAAGTCCTGTGAAATTGTTATTCTTATAATTTTCATTTTATAGATGAAAAAACAGGCAGAGAGAGGTTTAGTAACTTTCTCAAGGTGATTAAGATATAGCAAGTAGCAGAATTTAGATTTAAATCCAGAACCTCTACTTTTTACATCCTTGCTGTATTGCTTTGAAGATGAGAGCTGGTTGAATTGATTGTTTTATGTTGTGGGATCTGCACAAATACAGGTACAGAGGAAGTTTATAATAATAATAGAAAAAAACCTTTATCAAAAGCTTGGTATGTGCTAAGTTCTGTACTAAGTTTTAAGTTTTATGTGTAATATTATTTAATCCTCACAACAATCCTATTGAATAGATCTTATTATTTTACAGATGAGAAAATTGAAGTTCAGAGAGATTAAGGAAATTGCCCCAGGTTCCCAAAGTTAGTAAGTGGTAGAAGTGATATTTGAAACTGGGCTGACTCCAGAATGTGTGATGTTCTTAACGACTTTCCTGCATTGCTTCATATGATAAAATAACGTATTTTATTATTATCAACAACATTAGGTAGAACTAGAATTTAAACCCCAAAATACAAGGAGCTTTAGAATCTGTGCTCTTTTAACGGTAGGGCTATCTTAATCATAATTGTGGGCATGTTTGGGGACTAATGAGCAGTCCACTTTGCAGTAAGCATCGGGTAGGCAGGAAAAAAGATTTGAAAGTATGGGCCCATTGTTAGAGTCTGAAAATACTGTGAGTACAGGAATGACATCATACCTAAGTTCTCTGACAGATTTATATATTACCAATGTGTAGGCACAAATTGAAGGGAAAACAATGAGGCAGAACGGCCCATTAGGAATCTACTGTAAAAGAATCTGAGATGGCCTTGGGAATAGAAAGGAGGTAACAGTAAATTTGAGAGATATTTGCAGAGGAGTAATTTATATCTCTGTAATTCAGCCAACATGTATTAAACACTATTCATGTGTAAAGCTCTGTATTGGGTTCTTGGTATAAAGGGCTGAATAGGACATAGTCCTTTACCTCAAGGAACTCACGGGCCAATGGGGGATTCATGTGAGGCTACAGATAATCACTCTGACAGAGTTACAAACAAATACTAAGGAGCAGTGAGAAAGCAGTAATAAACTTGTCAAGGAAAGCTCCTCAGCGGAAGTGATATTTGAGCCAAGTCTTGAAAGATGAAAGATATATTATGGATATATTCCTTGGTGTGTCGTCCTGATTTCTCTCCTCATTTCACACCCCACATTCTGTCCTTTGACAAATCCACCTATCTTCCAAATATATCATGAATTCAACCATTTCTCTTCACTTCCATTTCTACCATTTGGACTAGACTAAAAGTGATTTCTCTCCTGAATTATTGTGGTAGCCTCTGAACTGCTCTCTTTGCTTCTTTCTTTTCCTTCTTGAAGTTTATTTTAAACACAGCTAATAGAATAATCCTAGTAAAAACATAAGTCAGTTCATGTCATATCTCTGCTCAAAATCTTTCTATGGCTTTCCGTCTCCAAGTAAAAGCTAATTCTTTACAAAGACCCTATGATCTGGCTCCCCTGTTACTTCTAACCTCATGTCTTAGTACTACTCTTGTTGTTCCCTCTGCTCTGGCTCTCACTGGTTTCCATGCTATTTCTCAAAACCTCCACGCATACTCCCAATTCAGGGTCGTTGTGTCTTCCACCCTCTGCCTAGAATGGTTTTCCCTTAGATGTCCACACAGCCAGCTCTCTTACTTCCTCAAAAGTTTCAGTGAGGCCTTTCCTAAGTAGCCTTACCTAAAATTCAACATTTCATATTCTCTCTTTACCTGCTTAATTTTTTTCTCTATAGCACATACCACATATTTTACTTACTTGTTTGATTTATTATCTGTCTTCCACACGACAGTGTAAGCTCTATGAGAGTGGAGATATTTTTCTGTTTTGTTCACTACTCTGTCTCCAGCACCAGGAACAGTAACTGGCACAAATCAGGGGCTCAATAAATGTTTGTGAGTGAATAAATGAATATTTCTGTTGTGCTAGGTACTATAAGGACCCAGAAAATACTCAATACAGTATAGAAATTACTACGGGATAGAAGTATGTTATAATTCTAGAAGATAAATGCCAGATAGTTGTGATCATATTTCCCAAACTCTTGTTTCTTTGCAAAGTGTTGTCAGAATTTACAACTAGGCACCATTTCCAAAACACTCAAGTGTAATTATTATTCTGTGTCAATTAGGAATTTTCCCGTTCTTTCTCACCTACCTAAATTGTAGCATCAGTTCCCAGCTAGAGCTCTGAAACTGCGTGCACCTCCGGGATTCATTCATGGAAACCTTTTGTGTGTTTTCAGGTTTGAAGCCGCCAAGCTTGTCATGCAGTGGCTCTGCAACCATGAGGATCAAAACATGCAAAGGATGGCAGTTGCTATCATTTCCATCCTGGCTGCCAAGGTATCTGAACTCCTATTATTGAACAATTTTCTGTAGGCAGCTATTTCCTGTTACAGTTACTATTTTCCCCAAAATCTGGGTGCCAGAGAAGTTAGCCTCTTTGCCAGCCTGTTTATTCAAGCTACATTCAATATTGCAGAATTCCATGTTGATCAGAGATTTTAGTCTGACCTTTGGAGTCTGTTGCGGTGAATGATATTAAACTCACACTAGTGAGTTCTTGGACATTTACTTTGTCTTCTGCTTGCTTGCAGCTTTCTACAGAACAAACTGCACAGCTTGGTGCTGAGCTCTTCATTGTCAGGGTAAGTCTATTATCTCCTCTGTGCAGACCACTACACAGTTTCCATTTTCATTGTTTTCAGGCAGTGTTGTGTATCTTCTGACATTTTATATTTCAAAACATTATTTTCATTACTTCTAACTGGATGTATTCATTTATTTTTATAGAGGCAGCTTTATTCCTTAACAGAGATGGAAAAAGCCCTGAACTAGGAGTCAGATGACCTAGGATCTAACTGTAAAGTCAGTTTGTGAACTTAAGACAAATTATGTGAACCATAGGAGCCGAAATAAGCCTTAAGATCCTACCTAGACCTAAAATTCTGTTATTTTGTTATTTATGAAGAAAATGTAGAGACTATTGTAGGCATAAAATTGTGCTAGATGCTTTGGGAAAAAAGATAATTTAAATAATTAACAAGTAATTTTGCTTGCTTACACTCAGTTAAGGAGATGATACAACGAACAGTGAAAAGTTAAAAAAGCTTTACATAGAATAAATATAAACAGTGTCCTAGGGAGGACTGGAGGAAAAAGTCTAGTTCAGAGTTTCTTGCTACAGTCCTGGCATGAGGTGTTGAAACAGTAATGGTAAATGAAAAAGTCAAATGAAAGACTCCCTCTTTTTTCTTTTTAAGATTTTATTTTTAAGTAATCTCTACACCCAACATGGGGCTCGAACCCACAACCCCGAGATCGAAAGTTGCACGCTCCACCGACTGAGCCAGCCAGGTACCCCAAAAGACTCCCTTTTTCTGATTTACATATTATGTATGTAATGAGAAAGTCATTCCTTTGATAAATATGTGTAGAGTACTTACCAGGTACCTAGCACCTTACTAGATGTTAGGGATTCGCATTGAATTATATCTGAAATTTCTGTCCATAAGAAGTACTGGAGAAAATAGCTATCTAGACATGGTTGTAATACAGTCTAATATGTATAATAATAGCAATATGAATGAAAAGAGTAATGTAAAGAGAGGAGAAAGCTGTGGTAGTATAATGGAAAGAGTAGGAATTCTGGAGTTGACACATTTGGGTTTATTCCCAATTCTATCACTTACTAGCTTGGGCAGTCACATAAATTTACTTAGGGTGATAAACTACTTTGTACAGTTATTATGAAGATTAAATGAAAAGGAAATTAAGATTAATTGAAGGGGAGGCACCTGGATGGCTCAGTTGGTAGAGCATGAGACTCTTGATCTCTTGGTCGTGAGTTCAAGCCCCACATTGGGCATAGAGCTTACTTTAAAAAAAAAAAAATTATTTGAAGTAATATATGCTAAGTGCTTAGCACAAAATACAGTATATGTTAGATAAGTAGAAAAGGATGCTGATTTTATTTATTTTTTCTATTTTCAGGGATGACATTTTAGTTTTAAATACGGCTTTTCATTGTTATATATGTGTTTCAGTAATTTTGGTTGGGGGTATATTCAAAGATTTTAAGGAAGTAATGCACTTATATGCTTTGGGAGAAGATTAAACTTAGTTTAAGCAGGAATTAGTAGCAGTAGTAGTGGCAGTAGTGATGATGATCACTAGCTTTTTTTAATCTCTTGATTATCACCTACAATTTACAGATGAGGAAACAAAGGATTAAATTGGCAAACAGGGTTACATAGATGCAGATTCTAGTGCCACACTCTTAGCCACTATGCTATTAAGTTACATAATTGCACTGAGATGTTTTTATTTCTAAAAATTTTTTTTCCTGAATTGTGTAACTTTAAGTAATAGTGTTCATTAATGTTTTCTTGTATCTGTTTGAACAGAGCTCCCTTTTACCCCCAAAACTATAATCTAAAAATGGAATTATGGGGTGCCTTATCTAGGTCTCAAAAGATTTATCTTTCAGACTTAAATTTCTTAGGTTAAGGCTATGATAGAAATAATTTACAAATGGAATTTCAAAGCTATTATCTTATTCAAATCCAATATAGACTTTAATTCTCTTACTATTGTATATAATTTGTTTGTTCTTTATTTTCTTAAGGAAAACTTGGAATTAGATAGAATTAGGTCTTCCAATTCTTATTTTCTCTTACTAAGTTGACTATGATCAAATTACTTAATATTTCTCAGACTCAATTTCCTCTCCTGAAAAATGGACATAACAATACTATAATATAGGATATAATTTGCTGATACTTGATAAATGTTAGCTTCCTTTCCCCTTCTCCCCCTCCACTTTTTTTATCCCAGGATCTGAAATGAATATATGATGTGACTGATTGGGTAAGATAGTTTTCCTAAGCTTTAATCATTTTGGTTTTTATTTTATTTACAGGGTATTAGATTATAGGTATCATCAGAATAATAAAGTATTTCTGAAGATCCTATACTTTTTTCTTGTTGAAGGAAAAATCTGATCCAAGAAGATGTTTGTTGTACTTATAAAAACGTTTATAGGAAATGTTTTAAGCCATGAGACCAATTTTCATGACTTGTGATTATCATCACTAATTATAACAGTTTCATGATGAGAATTTCATTGTTTTTCTTCTTTCAGCAACTTCTTCAAATAGTGAAGCAAAAAACCAATCAAAATTCAGTGGACACTACTTTGAAGTTTACTTTGAGTGCACTCTGGAACCTCACGGATGAATCTCCAACCACTTGCAGACATTTTATTGAAAACCAAGGGTTAGAACTCTTCATGCGGGTTCTAGAGGTTAGAATGGGAATTTAGCCTATAGTTTTGACATTGATTGATTTTAAGTATTCATTTATTATATTTGGTTCTTTAGGTAGTTATAGGTTTCTCTTTCTTTTTACAGTCTTTCCCAACTGAGTCATCCATTCAACAGAAAGTCCTAGGACTTTTGGTAAGATATAAACATTTCCTGCTAAATTCCAAGCTGTAATTAATTATTTTCCTTCTGAGGTAATATGTTGAAAGTTATTTCTCAGGGTGCCTGGGTGGTGCAGTTCGTTAAGTGACTGACTCTTGGTTTCTTGGTTTCAGCTCAGGGTGTGATCTCAGAGTTGTGAGATTGAACCTCACGTGGGGCTCCATGCTCAGCACAGAGTCTCCTTAGGTTTCTCTCTCCCTCTCCCTTTGCCTCTTGTGCATCCCCCTCCCCCAAGGAACACGCACTCTCTCAAATAAATAAATATTAAAAAAAAAAAAAAAAGGAAAAAAGTTGCTTCTCTATTTGTAAACACCTAATGACATTAGAAAAAATATACACTATAATAAAGTGAGAAAAGCAGGCTATAAACAATGTATACATATTAAGATTTCACCACATTAAAAGGAAAAACATAAATTACATACTTTATTATATATTGTTTGATATAGTACAAAGCTTCACTGTGAGCAGTTTTACTTTTATAATCAGAAAAAAAAAAAATCTCATGAAAAAATGTCACTAACTGGGGCACCTGAGTGGCTCAGTTGGTTAGGTGTCAGACTCTTGATTTTGGCTCAGGTCATGATATCAGTCTTGGGATCGTGTCCTGTGTCTGGCTCTACACTTGGCAAGGAGTCTGCTTGGGATTCTCTCTCTCCCTCTCCCTCTGGCCCTTATTACCCTGCTCACACGCCCTCTCAATAAATAAATAAATAAAATGAGTTAATAAATCTTTAAAAAAAATGTTACTAACCTCTAACTGTTCTTACATGCTATGTTTGGTAATTAATAATCAGTACTTAAAAGGCTGCTTAAAAAATTAGATATTCCATAAATATATTGGATATAGATTAAAGTGAGCCCTCTAGGATTTTGAGGCAAAGGTGAAGGAGCAAATGTTTATTTATTTATTTATTTTTTAAAATTTTATTTATTTTTTTTGATAGAGACACAGTGAGAGAGGGAACACAAGCAGGGGGAGTGGGAGAGGGAGAAGCAGGCTTCCCGCAGAGCAGGGAGCCCGATGTGGGGCTCGATCCCAGGACCCTGGGATCATGACCTGAGCCGAAGGCAGACGCTTAACCAACTGAGCCACTCAGGCACCCCGGAGCAAATGTTTATTATGCTTAATCACTGCCATAGGAAAAGTGCCTATGTGGTGAAAGCTATTTTAGAGTCGACCTCTGCTCTTGAGAAATTAGATAATAGGAGGCATAAATGAGTGAGTAAAAAAGGTTGTAGATTAGTGTTTGTTTTACAGATACAACAGTATGAGATACTAAACAATGAGAGATGGATTTTTGGGAAAGCTAAGGGCTGGCATTTAAAGACCTATCTATTCACTATAGCTTTAGTTATATATAAAGTAGAAAATGTAAAAAGATCCAAATGCCCAGAAATAGGAAAGTATTAAACAGATCATAGTATTTGATTGTTTTATTCAAGGTTCATAGGATTACTAGATACAGAAGTTGGTTCACATCACCATAAGAGGAAAAGTGGAATTCATTTTAAATATTTAGAGAGCTTTCATAGAGCTTTAGAAATGCTTTTTTAGGGTGCTTGGGTGGCTTAGTCGTTAAGCGTCTGCCGTCGGCTCAGGTCATGATCCCAGGGTCCTGGGATCGAGTCCCACATCGGGCTCCCGGCTCAGCAGGAAGCCTGCTTCTCCCTCTCCCACTCCCCCTGCTTGTGTTCCTGCTCTCGCTATCTCTCTCTCTGTCAAATAAATAAAATCTTAAAAAAAAAAAAAAATGCTTTTTAAAATTTATTTATTTATTTATTTATTTATTTAATAAAACGCTTTTCTTTTTAAATTTCAAAAAGAATACATGCTTATTATAACTAACCAAACAATACAAAAGTGTATTTTTTTTTTTTTAAAGATTTTATTTATTTTTTAGAGAGTGAGAGAGAAACAGCATGAGAGGGGCAAGGGTCAGAGGGAGAAGCAGGCTCCCCGCCAAGCCAGGAGCCCGATGTGGGACTCGATCTCAGGACCCTGGGATCATGACCTGAGCCGAAGGCAGACGCTTAACCATCTGAGCCACCCAGGCGCCCTACAAAAGTGTATTTAAAAAGCTTAAGATTCTGTCCTGAGCGGGTGCCTGGGTGGCTCAGTCGGTTAAGCTATTGCCTTCGGCTCAGGTCATGATCCTGGAGTCCCGGGATCAAGTCCCACGTCAGGCTCCCTGCTCAGCAGGGAGTCTGCTTCTCCCTCTGACCTCTCTCTCTCTCTCTCTCTCTCTCATTCTCGCTCTCTCAAATAAATAAATAAATAAAATCTTTAAAAAAAAAAAATTCTGTCCTGAGCCTTTAATCATTTTCATTTCCATGAGGTAATTAATGTTAATTCAACCCAATGTGCTTCCTTCCATATCTTTCTCCATTACTTAGTGACTGATTTTTTTTCCAATAATTTATTTTAAAATATTGGTTCTAACAGGTTTTTTTGTGGGCAGAGAACATACTTTGATTTGAGTCCTTTGGAATTTATTGAGACCTGTGTATGGCCCAGAATATGATCTATCTTGGTAAATATTCCATGTGCACTGAGAAGAATGTATATTTTGCTGTTCTTGGTATAATGTCCTGTAAATGTCTATCAGTCTAATTTGTTGTTATTATTTAAGTATCCTTACTGATTTTCTGCCTATTTGTTCTAGCTATTATTGATAAAGGAGTTTTGAAATCTTCAACTATAATTGTTGATTTATCTATTTCTTCTTACAGTTATATCAATTTTTGCTTCATGTATTTTGAAGCTCTGTTAGGTTCATAAACTGTTAAAATGTCCTCTTGATTAATTGACCCCTTATCATTATAAAATGACCTTCTTTATCCCTGGCAATATTCTTTACTTTGAAATCTCCTTTGTCTCATTTAATATAGTCATTCCAGCTTTCTTTTGACTAAGGTTAACATGGTTTACCTTTTTACAGCCTTTTACTGTTAACATGTATATGTCTTTAATTTAAAGCGTGTTTCTTGGGGCACCTGGGTGGCTCAGTCATTTAAGGGTCCAACTTTTGATTTCAGCTTAGGTTATGATCTCACGGTTGTGAGATTGAGCCATGTTGTTGGGCTCTGCGCTGGGCTTGGATCCTACTTAAGATTCTCTCTCTCCCTTTGCCACCCCCCCATCTCCCATCCCCCACTTGCACACACCTGTGCACACACTCTCTTTCTCTCTCTTAAAAAAAAAATGAAGTGTGTTTCTTATAGACAGCTATGTACTTTGCATCCTGCTTTTTTATTTTTTATTTATTTTTTTTAAAATTTTTTAAAGATTTTATTTATTTATTTGACACACAGAGAGATCACAAGTAGGCAGACAGGCAGGTAGGCAGGCAGACAGAGGGAGAGGGAGAAGCAGGCTCCCCACTGAGCACAGACCCCATGTGGGGCTCGATCCCAGGACACCAGGATCATGACCTGAGCCGAAGACAGATGCTCAACTGACTGAGCCACCCAGGCGCCCCTTGCATCCTGCCTTTTTATCCAGTCTGAAAATCTGCTTTTTATTTGGGCTGTTTGGATCATTTAAATTTAATGTGATTATTGACATGGTTAGATTTGAGTTCATTAACCTGGTATTTATTTTCTGTTCATCCCATCTGTTCTTTGTTTTCCCTTCTTTTTCTGCCTTCTTTTGGTTTAAGTTTTTTTTTATGATTCCATTTGATCCCTTCTCTTGATTTATTAGTGATTACTCTTTGTTATTTTAATGATTGCATTGGGTTTGTAGTATACATCCTTAATCACAGTCTTCCTTTAAGTGATTTTATACAATTTCAAATATATTTCATACATTTCTTATACATATATATGTATAAGAATTTTATAATAGTAGGCTTCCATTTTTTCTCTTCTTTCCTTGATGCTATTATCATGCATTTTATTTTTACATATGTTATAAACCATACAGACATTATTTTTGTTTAAAATGTCAATTATCTTTTAAGGACATTCAAATAATTATACTTAAATGTTTACCCAAATAGTTACTATTTCTGATACTCTTCTTTCCTTTATGTAGATCCAGATTTCTATCTGATATCGATTTCCTTCTGCCTGAGAGACATCCTTTAATATTTCTTGTAGTGCACATCTACTGTTGATTAATTCTGCAGCTTTTATATGTTTGCAGATATCTTCACTTAACCTTCGTTTCTGAAAGATGTTTTTGCCAGATATAGAATTCTAGGTTGACAGTACTTTAAAGATGTTAACTTTTTTCTTAGTTGCATTTTCAAGTGAAAAATCTGATGTCATCATTATCTTTATTCTTCTGTATGTACATTTTTCCTCTGGCTACTTTTAAGAGATTAGCAATGATTTTAAGTGATATGATTATGATGTATCTTGATGTAATTTATATCATGGTTCCTGTATTTGGGATTCATTGAGCTTTTGATCTATAGGTTTATAGTTTTCATCAAGTTTGAAAAGGTTTTGGCCATTATTTCTTCAAAATAATTTTTTTTGTACTGTTCTTCTTGCCCCCAACCCACTGGAGACTTTGGAGACTACAGTTTCTCATATATTAAACTGCCTGAAATTGTCTCACAGCTCATTGGTGCTCTTTTAATTTTCTTTGTTCATTTTTCTATGTATGTTCCAATTTGGATAGTTTCCATTGCTATGCCTTCTAATTCGGTAATCATTTCTTCTGCAATGTCTGATCTGCTATTAATCCCATCCAATGCATTTTTTTTTTAAAGATTTTATTTATTTATTTGACAGATAGTGAGAGCAGGAACACAAGCAGGGGGAGTGGGAGAGGGAGAAGTGGGCTTCCTGCCGAGCAGGGAGCCCGATGTGGGACTCGATCCCAGGATCCTGGGATCATGACCTGAGCCGAAGGCAGACGCTTAACGACTGAGCCACCCAGGCGCCCATCATCCAATGCATTTTTTATCTTAGACATCATCATTTTCTTCTCTAGAAATTTTGGTCTTTATTATATCTTCCATGTTTCTACTTAACTTTTGAACATACGAAATATATTTGTGATAACTGTTTTACTGTCCTCTGCTAATTATAACATGTGTCACTTTGGAGCACCTTGGTGGCTCAGTCGGTTAAGCGTCTGCCTTCGGCTCAGGTCATGATCCCAGAGTCCTGGGATCGAGCCCCGCATCGGGCTCCCTGCTCCGCAGGAAGCCTGCTTCTCCCTCTCCCACTCCCCCTGCTCGTGTTCCCTCTCTCGCTGTGTCTCTCTGTCAAATGAATAAATAAAATCCTTAAAAAAAAAAAATAACACGTGTCACTTCTGGGTCAATTTCAAATGATTGATTATTCTCCTCATTTTGAGTTGTGTTTTCCTTCCACTTTGCATGCCTGGGAGTTTTTGATTGGATGCCAGGCATTGTGATTTTACCTTGTTGGGTGCTGGATATTTTTTGTTTTCCTATAAAATATTCTTTTTTTTTTTTTCTAAAGGTTTTATTTATTTTATTTTTGAGAGAGAGAGAATGAGAGAGAGCACATGAGAGGGGGGAGGGTCAGAGGGAGAAGCAGACTCCCTGCTGAGCAGGGAGCCTGATGCGGGACTCAATCCCAGGACTCCGGGATCATGACCTGAGCCGAAGGCAGTCGCTTAACCAACTGAGCCACCCAGGCGCCCCCACACCACATCTTCAATTCAGCAAATACTGCCAGATTCTCTTTAGGCTCCCCATACCTGCACAGCAATGCTGGAAACTGCCCCATTTGCATACCTTCTCTCAGGTATAGACATTCTTGTATACCTGTTGCCCACTATCAAAAAAAAAGTTCTCTGATATATTTTGTCTGGTTTTCTAATAACTTGTTTATGGCAGGAAAGAATGGCCATAATTCTTTTTTTTTTTAAGAACTTTATTTTTGGGGTGCCTGGGTGGCTTAGTCGTTGAGCATCTGCCTTCGGCTCAGGTCATGATCCTGGGGTCCTGGGATCGAGCCCCGCATCGGGTTCCCTGCTCCGCGGGAAGCCTGCTTCTCCCTTATCCACTCCCCCTGCTTGTGTTCCCTCTCTCGCTGTGTCTCTCTCTGTCAAATAAATAAATAAAATCTTAAAAAAAAAAACTTTATTTTTGTTTTAATTAATCTATACCCCCAACATGGAGTTCAAACTTACAACCCCAAGATCAAGAGTTGCATGCTCTACTAACTGAGACAGACAGGTTCCCCAATAATGGCCATAATTCTTTTGATGTTCTATTTTGCTCTATTCCAAATCTTTCCTTTGTTTCTTGTTTTAATAGTGGTGTCTTTGTTGGGGGGGGGGGTGGCGTTCTTTTGTTTGTTTGTTTTTACTTTTTTTTTTTATCGGATACTATCTCACAGTATGAAGTTTGGGGAGGGGAGTCTATCTACTGTTGTGTTTGATGATTCTTACTTATTGTGGATTGTATTCATTGCGAATTGTAATTTAGCACTGTGATGTGTCATCTTTCTAGGGCTTTAAGTTCCAAGTGTGTTCTTCTCAAAGGGTTTGTTTCTTTACTTTCCTTTTTTTCTTCCTTTTCTTGTTTTTGTCACTATAAAAATGCTATGTGAAAAATATAAATAGGGAAGAATATGAAAAACAAATGTGAAATACCTTTTCTTTTTTAAGATTGATTGATTGATTGATTGATTGATTGATTTGACAGAGAGAGATGCAGCGAGAGAGGGAACACAAACAGGGGGAGTGGGAGAGTGAGAAGCAGGTTCCCGCGGAGCAGGGAGCCTGATGTGGGGTTCGATCCCAGGACCCTGGGAACATGACCTGAGCCGAAGGCAGATGCCCAATGACTGAGCCACCCAGGCGCCCTTTTCTTTTCTTTTTTAAGGATTTTATTTATTCATTTGAGACAGAGAAAGCATGAGCAGTGGTGAGGGGCAGAGGGAGAGGGAGAAGCAGACTCCCTCCTGAGCAGGGAGCCTGACGCAGGGCCCGATCCCAGGACCCCAGGATCATGACCTGACCCGAAGACAGATACTTAGCCAACTGAGCCACCATGTACCCCTGAAATGCCTTTTCTTATTTGAATGTGTGAGATTAGAGAAGGGTGATGATTAATCATTGATGCTGGTGAAAAATAGATTATACACATTCTAAAGTATATATAGTTAAACTTGTCTCTTCTATCCTCACTCTTTTTCATATTGAAGAAGAAAACTTGTTAGTCCTTACAAAGTATACATTTGGACATGATGCCTTTCACTTTGATTTATTATAGAATGACTTAAGCTAGGGAGTGAATAGTCTCTTAACAATCAAAAGCTCAGGGTCCTGGTTCCTAAGAAATGGAATCAACGTGTTAGGAAGAAAATTGCTATTTTATAGTAGATCAAATGAAGTTTTAAGAATAAGGATTAATCTTCAGAATAGTAAGTTGGATCTTAGATCCTTTGGAAGATCAACAACAGTCTAAATTGGAAACCCCTCAGTTGTTTCCCATGTGAACAGAGGTCTTCTTATGTACTGCCTAGGGAAGCCATTCTAAGAAGGAACAGAGACTGCAATTATATAAACATGTATTGGCATATGCACAAAAGTGAAGACTGTTATTATTAAGCACAGTGGGTTCCTTCTTAGAAGGTAAAGGGTCATTTAGCCATTTATTATTCATAATACTTTAATTTTTATATTTTCTTTTTTTCCAGAATAATATAGCTGAAGTACAAGAATTGCATTCTGAATTAATGTGGAAGGATTTCATAGACCACATCAGTAGCCTCCTACATAGTGTTGAAGTGGAAGTCAGTTACTTTGCAGCTGGGATTATTGCCCATTTAATATCTAGAGGTGAACAAGCTTGGACATTGAGCCGTAGTCAGAGGAATTCTCTTCTGGATGATCTGGTAGGGTCATTTGGTATTTCATGAAGCATACAAACAACATTTATAGTAGTTAAACTGTCAGAGTCTCATAATGCAGCAATGCAGTGCTAAATAAATATTGTGTTCTTTCTTGTGTGTCTTGTGTCTTGCAGCATTCAGCTATTTTGAAATGGCCAACTCCAGAGTGTGAGATGGTAGCATACAGGTAATTAACAAGATAATTAATATTAAGCTAGTAACCTAGTCATTTTGCTTTCTTAGAGGTCATTCCTACTAGATATATAATGTATTTTTCCCTCAGGCATCTATCTTTTTACTGACTTTTAAAAGGATCAGAGTATTGTTACTTTTTTCTACTACCTGTCATTCATCAGTTCTTCACTTATTCCACATTTATTGAAGACAGTGCCAAGGACTTGTTCTGTGCTCTTGAAATTCAAAGATGAGTAAGACATGGTGCCTACACACAAGAACCTTACAGCTGGGGTGCCTGGGTGGCACAGTCGGTTGGGTGTCCAACTCTTGGTTTCAGCTCAGGTTGTGATCTCAGGATTGTGGTTGTTAGCCAAATACGATCCTTTCTCAAATGGCTAAGACAAAGAAAAGATGTTCTATAGTTCACTTATAGTTTGAAAATAGTAGATGAAATTTCTAGAATGAAAAACTCAGGAATTTTGCTTTAGAAAATGACACTAAATATAGGATGTAACTTTTTTCTTTTGAAATTTTAGGTCCTTTAATCCATTTTTCCCATTACTTGGCTGTTTTACAACACCAGGAGTCCAGCTATGGGCAGTTTGGGCCATGCAACATGTCTGCAGCAAGAATCGTACGTACCAAAAAGAACTATGTTTTTCTTTTTTCAGTGAAATTCTCCTTGGGCAGGAAAACCATTTCTACATGGTATATTGAAGTGATTTTTTTAAGGATACAGATTTTAAAAGATACAATATAAGAGAATCTTTAGGGGTGCCTGGCTGGCTCAGTTGGTAGAGCATATGACTCTTGATCTCAGGGTTATGAGTTCAAGCCCCATGTAGGACAGCAAGATTACTTTAAAAAGAAGAGAGAGGGACGCCTGTCTGTTAAGCATCTGTCTTTTGGGGCACCTGGGTGGCTCAGTCGTTAAGCGTCTGCCTTCAGCTCAGGACACAATCCCAGGGTCCTGGGATCAAGCCCCACATCGGGCTCCCTGCTTAGTGGGGAGTCTGCTTCTCCCTCTCCCTATGCCCCTCCCCCTGCTTGTGCGCTCGCTCTCTCTCTCAAATAAATAAATAAAATCATTAAAAAAAAGAGCGAGACAGAATCTTAGGTTATAAACTAAATTTATTCTTTCAGAATTAGCTTAGTAATACTAGATACTGAATGACAGTGGTGAATGAGGCACTGTTCTGACCTCATGGAGTATGAAGATTAGGAGCCTACAGTGAGTCCATTTACAAAGCAAAAGTTTTAAGGCAATCCAGTGTTTATGGTTCATTCCAGTGCCCAATCCTCATCCACACAAAATCCCATTGTTTAATAAGATACTGCTTTCAGCACCCATAGTCTCTGGAGAAGCAAGAATTTAGATCAGATTCTGTATTACTCTTTTTTGAGGGTTGTGATACAACTCTTTGTTGTTTATTTATTAATAAAAACTCAATCCATAAATGATTTGAAACATTACACAAGAACACTTTAATTGTAAAAACACTTTAAGTATAAATTAAAATATTTGAAATTAGAAATCAGGATCAAGGAAAAATAATTTGAAAAGAAATTAAAGATTATAGGGAAAATAATAGAATGTAAATATGTAGACCATACATGGTGATTCATGTTCTTTTTGTGACGGGGCTGCAAATAATCAGCTACAGGATTCTCTTTCCATATAAGGAGGAAAAACTATTCCATATCCTCATGGGAAAGCTTTTCTGAGCAATTAACTACAAATTAAATTTCTTTTATAGAACCTCGAGGGGCGCCTGGGTGGCTCAGTTGGTTAAGCGACTGCCTTCGGCTCAGGTCATGATCCTGGAGTCCCGGGATCGAGTCCCGCATCGGGCTCCCTGCTCAGCAGGGGGTCTGCTTCTCCCTCTGACCCTCTTCCCTCTTGTGCTGTCTCTCATTCTCTCTCTCTCAAATAAATAAATAAAATCTTAAAAAAAAAAAAAAGCTTATAGAACCTCGATAAGGGTGATATTATAAATGGCCTTATATAGGAAATGCGAGTGTTGTTTTTAACAATAGTCTTGTAGAAAAGAGCAGTAACATTTTATTAGATACTTTCTTATTCTTTGATGAAAACTCAGTGCATACTGCAAAAAGGGGACTCAGTAAAAGCTCTTTTCTGTGGGATAGACAGGGGAGGAGTGTTTAGGGAATGGGATGTGACAGACAAAACTGCTTTGTACCCAACTAAACTTCTACCTGGAAGCTTTTCTGACCCTTCCTACTAAATTCCCAGTTTATTCATAAACATAAGCTGTCTCTGATCCAAAAATTTCCTCCTTTTATTGTCCCTACAGGTTCTGAGAACTCCCTAGTTTCTTAACAGCCTATCCCATGTTATACCCAGCCTCTAATCTCTAGGCTTCTTTCCTTATTACTCAAACAATGGGCTTTTCACAGTTTTATAAGAGAAGAGAAAACATAAAGAATAGTGTATTTTCATATAAGTGGGTTTTTTTTTTTTTTTTATGACTACTTTTAGGTGTAGGTGTTCTTTTAAGTTTACTCTGTGGAGTGACCACCCTGAAAATTTTATTCTAAAATGCACTGTGGGGGGGGGGGGGGGCGGTGCCTGCCTGTCTTAGTCGGTAGAGCATGCAACTCTTGATCTTGGAGTTGTAAGTTAGAGCCCCACAATGGGTATGGAGATTACTTAAAAATAAAATCTAGAATAAAATAAAATAAAATAAAAATAAAATACACTGTAGGGGCACCTGGCTGGCTCAGTCAGTAGAGCATGAGACTCTTGATCTGGGGATCATGAGTTCGAGCCCCCCAATGGGTATAGGGATTACTTAAAAAAAAAAAAAAAGACAAGAAATAAAATGCACTGTAATTAGGGAATGTTAGAGTAGTTTATCTCCAACTCAGGTAGTTCAGGTTTCTGCATTCTTGCTTCCCAGGCTTATTTGGCTTATATTTAAATGGAATTAACTTCTCAGTTTGCATTAAAAGTTCTAATGCTGCTTACAGCTTTTAATAATTAAGAGATAGTATGGCATAGTAGTTAAGGGCACACAGGAATCTACCTGGATTCAAATCATATTCCAGCACTTACTATGTATGCCAGCTTGAGCAAATTATTAAGTTTGGGATTTCAGTTTCCACCTTTGTTAAATGGGAATAATAATAGTACCTATTTCACACATTATAATGAGTATGTTCCCATATTTTAGAAAGTTTAACAACATGATTTTTAATAATCACATTATCTTTATTGTATGACATTAGTTTCCTAGTACTCATAACAAAGTTCCACATGTGGGTGTGTTAAAAGAATAGGAACGTTTGGGGCACCTGGGTGGCTCAGTCAGTTAAACGTCTGCCTTCGGCTCAAGTCATGATCCCAGGGTCCTGGGACCCAGCCCCGCATTGGGCTCCCTGCTCAGTGGGAAATCTGTTTCTCCCTCTGCCCTTCACCCCTCTTGTGCTCGCTCTTGCTCTCTCTCGAATAAATAAGTAAAATCCTAAAAAAAGAAAAAAAAAAACTCTCGGGGCGCCTGGGTGGCTCAGTCGGTTAAGTGTCTGCCTTCGGCTCAAGTCATGATCCCAGGTCCTGGGACCCAGCCCCACATCAGGCTCCCTGCTCAGTGGGGAGCCTGCTTCTCCCTCTCTCGCTCCCCCTGCTTGTGCTCTCCCCCTGTCAAATAAATAAATAAATAAATATCCTTAAAAAAGAAAGAAAGAAAAAGAACTCTCAAAACTTAGGGGTGCCTGGGTGGCTCAGTCAGTTAAGTACCTGACTTCAGCTCAGGTCATGATCTTAGGGTCCTGGGATCAAGCCCCACATTGGGCTCTTTGCTCAGCGCGGAGCCTGCTTCTCCCTCTCCCTCTGCCTGCTGCTCCCCCCGCTTGTGCTCTCTCTCTCAAATAAATAAATAAAATCTTTAAAAACAAAAAGAACTCTCAAAACTTAATAATAAGAAAATAATACAAGTAAAAAGAAAATGGACAAAAGAGTTGAACAGACCCTTCACCAAAGAAGATTAATGGATGGCAAGTAAGCCCATGAAAAGATGTTGAACATCATTAAGACAAACATATATGTCAGTGCATTAGAATTGAGAGTCCAGAAATAAATCCATGTATTTATGGTCAGTTGATTTTTGACAAGGGTGCCAAGACTATTCAGTGGGGAAGGAATTGTTTTTTCAACAAACAGTGCTGGGAAAACTGAATAGGCACATGTGAAAGAACTTGATTCCTTACCTCATACCGTATATAAAACTTAACTCAAAATTAACTCAAAATGAGGCCAAGGCCTAAATGTAAGAACCACATCTACATATATATAAGCATATAAAATTTTTAGGAGAAAACAGAGACATAAATCACCATAACCTTGGATTAAGCAATAGCTTCTTAGGACACCAAAAGCATAAGTGACAAAAGAAAAACTAGTTTAATTGGATTTAATAAAAAATTTTTAAAACTTCTATGCTTCAAAGAATACCACCAAGAAAGTGAAAAGACAACTTATAGAATGGTTGAATTATTTGCAAATTATATAGCTGATGAGGGACATGTTTTCAGAACTATATATAAAGAGCTTTTACAACTCAATGATAAAAATAACCCAGTTTAAAGATGGGCAAAGGATCTAAATAGACTTTCTACAAAGAGAACACATGAATGGCCAATAAGCAGATGAAAAGAAGCTCAACATCATTAGTCATAGAGAAATATAAATTAAAACCACAGTGAGACACTACTTCACACCTACTAGGAAGGCTGCCTATAAACAGAAAGATGGATGATGACAAGTGTTGGCAAGGATGTGAAACAACTTTCTCATTCATTACTGATGGGATTGAAAAATTATAAAATCAGGGGCGCCTGGGTGGCTCAGTCGTTAAGCATCTGCCTTCAGCTCAGGTCATGATCCCAGGGTCCTTGGATCGAGCCCCGCATTGGGCTCCCTGCTCCGCGGGAAGCCTGCTTCTCCCTCTCCCACTCCCCCTGCTTGTGTTCCCTCTCTCGCTGTGTCTCTCTCTGTCAAATAAATAAAATCTTAAAAAAAAAAGAAGAAAAAGAAAAACCTAAAACTACTACATGCATATGTGTATAACAGTATGGATGCATCTCAAAAATGTCATGCTGAGCAAAAGTAGACAGACTCAAAAGAATACATACTATATGATTTTATTTACATGAAGTTCTAGACCAGGCAAAAGTAGTCTATATCATAGAAATTAGAAAAGTGGTTGCCTGGGTGAGGCTGCAGAGATTGACTACAAAGGTGCACAAGGAAACTTTTTTAACATTCCATATTCTGATTGTGATGGTAGTTACAGAAGTGTATACATTTGCCAAAACTCATCAAATAATAGATTAAATTTGGGTATATCTTATTGTGTATAAATTATACTTTAATAAATATGACTAAAATTTAAAAAACCTTTTTTATTTTTTTATTTTAAAGATTTTATTTATTTATTTGAGAGAGGGAGAATGAGAGAGAGCAAGCACATGAGAGGGGGGAGGGTCAGAGGGAGAAGTAGACTCCCCGCCGAGCAGGGAGCCCGATGCGGGACTCGATCCAGGGACTCCAGGATCATGACCTGAGCTGAAGGCAGTCGCTTAACCAACTGAGCCACCCAGGCGCCCTAAAAAAACTTTTTTTTTTTAAGATTTTATTTATTTGGCAGAGAGAGAGAGGGAACACAAGCAGGGGGATCAGGAGAGAGAGAAGGAGGCTCCCCACTGCGCAGGGAGCCCAATGTGGGGCTTGATCCCAGAATCCTGGGATCATGACCTGAGCCAAAGGCAGATGCCCAATAAAAAAAAAACGTTTTTAAGATTTTATTTAAGAGAGAGAACACGAGCAGGGGGAGGGGTAGGGGGAGAGGGAGAAGCAGCCTCCCCGCTGAGCAGGGAGCCTGATGCAGGACTCGATCCCAGGACCCTGGGATCATGACCTGAGCTGAAGGCAGACACTTAACTAACTGAGCCACCCAGGCACCCCAAAACTAAAAAAACTTCCAAAAGTCGTGTATATAAAAAGAAGAAATACTTAAAAACAAGGCAAAGAAAATATTTAAAAAGAAAACTACATGTACAATATGAATACATTAAATTTTTTAAAAAATATATAGGAAATGCATAAAAGCGTAACAGTACCTATCTTACCTGTGATTTGGGATCAACGAAATTTTCTTCTCTGGATTGTCTGTGCTTTAAGGTTATGATTTTTATTTATTTTTGGTAAAAAATGGTTTATCAGTTCCATTTTGTATAAAACACATGGGAGAAAACTAACCTAACCAGTCAACATGCAACCTGGTTAGGTTACATACAACCATGGAAAGGTACTTTTATCAAACTTTGAGTTTAAGAACATACAAATGTTTCTTTTACCATGTCTAAAGTAATTGTCTATGCTTTTCCATATAACTTTTAAAATTTCTACATATCTCATTGTTTCTTCCGTCCCAGTTATAGTACAAGGACAGGGAGGAGGAAGATTGGTTAAAACATCTCTCTAAGCAGTTTTCTGCTGTCCTTTCTTTCCAAATAGAGACTTGTGGATGTGAGGGACCAACACCCTCCCCCCACCCAGCTATGGTAGCCTTGATAAGGGAACCATATATATGAGTATGAGAATCATATATATATATATATATACATATATGATTGAGAATCATTATTATTTGTGGGGACTAGCAGTGTAGACATCATTACAGAGGTATTTATCAAGCTGTAGCATATGTTAGTGGTCAAAATGAAATAGCTAACATTTAAGTGAAAATAGAACTTTTTTGTGTGTGGGATAATTTTTAAGTGTTGTAAGAAAAGCTCTCCTCTTTTTCAGCCTCAAGGTATTGCAGCATGCTGATTGAGGAAGGAGGATTGCAGCATTTATACAACATCAAAGAACATGAACAGACTGATCCCCATGTCCAACAGATCGCTGTGGCCATTCTGGACAGCTTAGAAAAACACATTGTGCGCCATGGCAGACCACCTCCCTGTAAAAAGCAGCCCCAAGCTAGACTAAATTGATAGCCATAGGTAGTTGGATAATTGAATCACAGGAATCCTCTTTGTGATAGGCTCATTTGGAATATCTTATCTTCTGTGATGTTTTAGGGGTTTCTATGACAAGAGTCATAAGATCAGTTTGGGATTGATGGTGTACAGTACTGCCAACGTGAACAGTCTCTAATTTGTCTTGTGGTTTTTAACTTCTGAGGCAAGAAGGGTCTCTTCCTTCGTCATTGCCTTTTAGGAAATTTTCCACATCTTTCTGTGTTTGAACTTACTGTGCTTGAAATTCTACAGTTTTATGATAAAGTTTGCACGAACCCTTAGGCCAGACTTTTCTGATCTTAAAGTCCCTTCCAATCAATTTGCAGCTTCAGATAAGCTGTTAACCTGATTTCTGGCACTGCTTCAGTTGTAAGTTTTATACTGCTTCTGTATAAAATGCCTTTATTCTCTGTCTGTGTACCTTTTATAAGATGTCCTTAGTGTGAAAGAATGGAAATCCGAGTCCTCTTTGAAAGCTACTCACTGACTGGAGCCTGGGTAGTTGGCAGAAAAAATGTATTAGAAAGAAAACTAGTAAGGGAGAAAAAAGATTAGGAACTGGAGAAAGGTCTGCTCTTATAGTTCTTAAACTGGAACAAGCTATCCTTCTGGAACCCGTACTTCTCCTGAGGCAGTGAGCAGTAGCTTGTTCTTCATATTTATTCCTGGGAGCATGGGCTGCTGCTTCCTACACGGACTGCTGGTTACTCTCTAGAAATATTTCCCCAGGCATCACAATGTAAAATATTACAGCATTCTGTGTTAAAGATTAACTGTCTGAATCTCTATACATCATACTATTGTGAAAATGTGAATTTTTATAAAATTGTCTCTTGTTAAAACTGACTTCTTTTCCCTCTATTTCAAAGTCATTTTGTTCAGTGAAATAGAGACTACACATGGTATTACCTGCTCAGTTAAAATACAGTTAACGACAGTAAATTTTGTCACAAGAAGTTAAATTTTCTTTTGTTTCAAAATACATGTATTTTATGTTCTCATGTTGGAGAAAGATGTCCACATCTCACTGCCAAAAATGAATGAGAAGCACTAGGCTATTATTAAATGTAATGATTCTAGTTGCGGTGCATAAAAGGAAATATTTTTGATGGGTTATTTTTTAGACAGTTGCCTTTCCTTTATGATACCCATTATAGCATAGTAAAGAATCAGTTATCATTATATCAATAATGAAAGCTGGGAGGCAGCAAGTCACCAAGAAACTTAATTTCCATTTTAAATTTTAGTTGGTGAGTGAGGTTAATGACAAATTTCAGATGATTGTGTTTTCTTCATAGATGGCCAAAATGTTTTCAATAGAGAGGTTTTTTTTTTTTTAAGATTTTATTTCTTTATTTGACAGAGAGAGACACAGCAAGAGAGGGAACACAAGCAGGAGGAATGGGAAAGGGAGAAGCAGGCTTCCCGTGGAGCAGGGAGCCCGATGCGGGGCTTGATCCCAGGACCCCAAGATCATGACCTGAGCCTAAGGCAGACGCTTAACGACTGAGCCACCCAGGTGCCCCTTCAATAGAGATTTAAATGGTTTAAATTATGGTGATTATTTAGAAGCATTTTTATTTAGAAAGGAGCTGGCTTATTAGTATGCTGATAACATTTTTGACGTATGTATTTCAAACCACTATCACAAAAGTCATACTTGAATTATTTTGTACTCCTTCGCAGGGATGAAAACTTAAACTAAAAGAAAAGAGGTATTTAGAACCATTAAAACCCATATTATATTCTGGGTTACTTCTGACTTGATGGGTTTAAGGAATTTTTATAGGCTCAAGATAAATTTTCACAGATTGTCTATTTCAGAGGAAGTGGAAAATTCTTTTAACTTTCCCTCTTTTTCCCAGATTTTAATGTCTAAGGCAAAATGTAGAAAATATAGCTTGGAAGTTACTAGCTATGTTGACTATCTTCAGGTCTCTTAGCTTGCATAGTTAAGGGAAAGCCTGTTTGAGAAGTTTGGCTTCAAGTTTCTCTTATGTCTTGTTCAAGACAAAAGTGCATGTTCCTTACACGCTAATCTTAGGTTTTTATCTTTACAAATTGTTTTCAGAAATAGCTAAAAATGTACAGAAAACAATAACTCCGTTCATTATTCAGAATAACTTGATAGATGAAGGCTCAAAAATATTTAAAATTAATTCTAAACTTACTACTTTGAGCATTGGTAATGGTGGGATATTTCTGAGTCTTAAGAGCAAAATAATTGATCACATCCCATATATAAAAATGGTAGTGCCTTTGTGGTTGGGATGGTTCTTAAAATTGTGTATCTAACTAAGGCACAGAATTGTCTGTAAGGTCTTGAATCTGGCTAAAATATAGTAGATGTATATATTGAAATTATGAGGCATAACTGGCCTGTGTCTACAGTTAGAATCTGTTAGGCCTCCCTTTTACATGTGTATACTGGAATGTAATAGTACTTGGTGCCTTCAAGGGTTACCTCTTCAGTGGCTTAGAGGTGCTATTTCAAGCACAATTTAGACTAGGGTTGAACCACTCATTGCTCAAATCACTGGTGCACTCAGATGTTATAAAATGTCACTCCATCAGTCCACAAGCAGCAGCAAGGTTTAGATCTACCAAAGAAAATGGAATTAGACTTTTTAAAGTATAATTATGCATGTTGGTATCATTGAGTAAAACAAGAATGGTCTGAAATTAAAGCAAAAATAAGGAATCTCATTCTTTCCATCAAGTGAGTTTTGCTTGTGGTCTTTATATTCTAAAAAATCATTTTTCCTGTTGGCAGTTGAAAAGAAACATAAATCAAGTAATAATAAGGGGTTAATTTAATTTACCCTCTGGCCAAGGACTCAGTGGCTACTGATCTTAGTTGAGGATTTTTTGAATTATCAGACCCACAGTTCCAGGAATTGACCTTAAATATTGCTACTCTTTAGCCCTAGATAGAAATGCCATTTGGTAGCAATAGTCCACTTAATTACCCAAAGTGGAGGTGAGTCACCACAAAAGGGTGCTACGGGGATTTAATTTCATGATCTCTTTTGTTTGCAAACTTCCAAAGAATCAAAGATTCATGTTTAAAACATTAGTCTATCCAGCCTAGAAAGTTGTTCTTACTATTGAGACCTTTTGAGTTGGCCCTTTTTCTCCCTCATCACTTTCATTTGGCTGTATGTTTAATTATGCTATGTATCAAGAGCGCATTGGGCCATCTTCTAGCCCTTTGGAACACATTTTTATGAAAACATATTTTATGTGCTAACTTATGATAGATTAATGAATGATGGTTTTGACTTAGTATTTTAAAATGCATGACCACCCATAGAACACCATGCAGCAGCAGTACCCAAAGTTGAAAAGAGGTCATGAGTAATGGGAAAACAAACTTAGTTTTGTTTTTGTTGAAACCCACCCCCCTCCTGCCCTCTACTGGTATGTTTACACTATTTGGTCATTGTGCAGCTTTTATTATGGAATAAACAGTATTATTAAACTGAAAGTCTAAGTTAAAAGCAGTATCATAATATCAGCGGACATGGCAGTTTTATCTGTATGTTACTTGTTTGGGAACTTTATATGGGTAGGACTTCAGAGTACTGTACCAAGACAGCTTACAGAGCAGTTTTGTAAAACTTACAGTTTCCCTCTCAAATCCATTGTAGCAGTTTCAAATGACTGTGTGGATGTTGGATGTTTAATCTTTACCATTTACTTTGTATTGACACATTTTTTATTTTTAGTGTTAACTCATGTACTACTTTAGGAATAATGCAAATCCAGCCTTCATCCAGTGATGAGAATAGCAGTATAATAGGAATTTGCTGAATGTGCTTTAAATGGGTAGTTGCTTTATCTTTTTTAGTATCTCATAGACTTTGCATGACACGGTACACTCCTAATTATGCATTCTTCAGTTTCCAAATCTTAACCTAAGACATTCTATGTTAACTGATTGGCAGCCTGAGAAAGAGCTTTCTCTGCCTGTTTCTCCCATCACCCAATTTTTTGGGGTAAATTATGGGAAAATCAGTGCTATTTCTCATTTCTCTGGATGAAGCAAGGTTTGTTTGGACGGCACAACCAAACTTTAGAGCTAGATAGAATGGCTATTAAGAATATTTAGAAAATCCACATTGATCAAAATTATTCTGGGAAATCATAAATCTAGTTCATTAATAGTATGTGCTTAACTTTGAACTTACTTTTGGGAAAACTGTTCAAATGGGTTCTTTTAAGATTATTCTAATCAGCTTAGAAGCAAGAAGCTACTTAGCTAATGAAAGCTGAGATACTTTCATAAAAGCGAGAAATTCTTGAGAGCATTTTTTTTAAAAATGGGATAATGTTAATGTCAAGATTTATACTCAGATAATCTGCAAGAATAAAATTTTAAAATCCTTGATTTTTGTAGAAATCCCACTGTCAAATTCCCACGGACTTGTGAGAGAAAAGCTATCTTTGCCTTGAATTCTGATGGAAGAGTTTAACTCCTTTCAAAGGATATGAAAAATTCATTGGGAAGTGTAATGTGTTCATTTCAAAGGCTCTCAGTTATCTGGACTGAAGGCACTGTTCTCACTGTGGCCAGATGAATGGGAGTGTTCTGTACATGAATCATGCTATATTTTAAATCAGGACATCACTTAGGTATTAATGTTGTGTGTGTACAGAGTTTTGTTTTGCAATTTTTTTTTTGCCTAAATAAATGTATAAATTTTATGTAAAGTGTGTCTTGTGTATTTTATTTCTAGACATTTGCTTTAAATTTAATGCAAGATTTAGATTCTTTGGTTATTCACTCGTAACAATTGCTTACCAGTGGTTTTAGTGCAGAAATTTCTAGTATTGGAACTCCATTCATTCATTTCATTAAATACCTATGGCAGGTACTGTTAAAATTTTGGAATTTATATAATTTATAAGTCCCTCAGAGAACTTACAGTTTTTTGGAGAAGAAATATCAAGCATATAAATATCTAACATTGTATCACAGACCAGTCCAAAGTGCTTGTTAGAGAGGCACGGAGATCACACTTAATCCAAATTGGGCACCCATTACACAGCCCAACAAGACTTCCTAGAGAACATAACATCTGGGTTGACATCCATTCACACAACTATTGAGATAATTAACAATATTATGTATATTAAATATATTTAATGAGGGACTACCAAACAACAAAGTATAAGAACCCCATAGCCAGGAAGAATCCTTAGTTATTTTAGTTTCAGAAACTAATTTTGTAGTTGAAGAAATGTAGTCTTAGATAAAATGAGCTTGTCTGTCACATGCAAGTCAGTGACAGACTCTGCCCTATAGTTCTAATTTCCAACTTCCAATCAAGTGGGCCTCTCTTCCCCACCATGTTGTTACATAATAGCATGAGATTTCTTAGATCTTAGGCATTATGTGATTAAGCATCAAGTGAATGGTACAGAAAATGATGTACACCAAATGGTCAAAGAAGTGGAGATTGTCCATGAGGAGGTGTTCTAAGGCAGCATTAGTGTTTAAATGCTATAGAATTGTTAATGAATGGCCACTACAAATTGTATTGCTTCACTAATACACAAACATGAGGTTAGCTGTGTTCGGGTGATAGGTTTTGTTTTTAAGTTTCACTATAATTTTTATAATAATTACTAGTTTTAACTTGTTTATCTGTCCAGTAATTCACTCAATAGTGACATGGTATTACTATGGTCCATACATACTGAGGAAAAGAAATACTTTTGGCTAATATTTAACCAACTAAGTGGATGAGCTGTGTAGTCTATAGCCAACACTCCAAAAAGGAAAAATTTTAAAGTCCTCCACTCTTCCCCCTCCCTCACCCTTTGTCACAGTTTTTATTATGTAAATTGACCCAATCTCTCGACTAAATTCTTCCTTTCCTCCCCATTACCCTTCCATCTCCTATTCTCCATTCTTAATCTGCATTTTAGGAGTCCAGTGAACAGATCTGACTAACCCTAACTCCTCGAATTGAGAGGAGGGGATGAATGTAGAAACCGTGAGCATTCACATTAATCATTTTTGTCTCATAATTTTAGATTCCAATGCAGCCTCAAAATCCAGCCTTTACACAGGCTCCAGCCTGTGAAAGAGCAAATCGTAGGGTAGGAGTACCCGCAGTGAGCTCTTAGCTTTCAGAGTAAGCCTTTGGAACAGGTTTGGGGAAATGGCACTAGTAGCCAGATGCTGCAAATGAATGGCTTACTCCCATGCATTCAGTAGGACAGCTGTTTAAACTCATCTTGTAATGACTCAAAGACCATCTCTAGTGAGTATCCCTCCTAGACTGGGATGTGAATATAAGAGCTAAGAACGAAAAAAAACTTTGCTCAGGCGCCTGGCTGGCTCAGACAGTGGAGCAAGCGACTTTTGATCAAGAGTTTGAGCCTCACGCTGGGCATAGAAATCACTTAAAACAAAAAAACCTTAGATCTCCTGTCACTTCCCATTAATACACATTATAAAAGGAACCATTTTCAATTACATACGAATGGTGATTGTCATATTTGAATGTGGAAATTAAGGAGTTACCAAACACATTTTCTACCTAGTTCTCCGTCTCATCAATTCAGCCTTAAACAAAACACTTCAAAACTGCAGATATTATGAATAATGAGCCAAGTGCCGTGTTTAACCCTCAAACATCTTGTAAGGGAAGAGAATTATCCCCTTTAAAGGGAAGGCTAAAGAGGTCAACAGACTTGCCTCAAATCATAAGACAGTACATAGAGGAACTTGTAGATTTTTTTTTTTTAATGTAGATTACCTTTTTTTTTTTTTAAGATTTTATTTATTTATTTGAGAGAGAGAGAATGAGAGACAGAGAGCATGAGAGGGAGGAGGGTCAGAGGGAGAAGCAGACTCCCTGCCGAGCAGGGAGCTGGACGCGGGACTCGATCCAGGGACTCCAGGATCATGACCTGAGCCGAAGGCAGTCGCTTAACCAACTGAGCCACCCAGGCGCCCGAGGAACTTGTAGATTAAACCTAGACACTGTTTTGACACTAGTGTCCCCACTATTGGTAGAACATCGGCTACTTTGTAAAATACTAGTACTGATGTCTTTCAATGTGAAGGCAAAGGTATAATTATAATTATAATCAAAAGCCCTCTGAAACGGCTCATGAAATAAATCACATTGTTTGTGGATATTAGCAATGGATTTAAAGACTTTTCCCCTTTAGGGCACCTGGGTGGCTCAGTTGGTTGGGCGACTGCCTTCAGCTCGGGTCATGATACTGGAGTCCCGGGATCGAGTCCCGCATCGGGCTCCCTGCTCGGCGGGGAGTCTGCTTCTCCCTCTGACCTTCCTCCCTCTCATGCTCTCTCTCTCAAATAAATAAAAAAAAATTTTTTTTTAATAAATAAATAAAGACTTTTCCCCTTTAAAGACCTATGGGAATAAATCAACCATAGTTTAGGATTTGGGGTCAATCAATTAGCACTATGCAGCAAGTACTATTGTACGGGGTCTATAATTTCAACTACTACTAGTTATTTGATAGATTCCAATGGCTGACTTGGAATTCCAATATAACCAGAAAGTATATCAAGGCAAGCACTATGCTAAGCCTTTTTATATCTGTTTTCTCAGCTAAGCCTTGCAACAACCTTGTAAAAATGATAATTATTCCATTTTATGGATACAGAAATTGTGAGGTATTAAATAATTTTGCCAAGGTCACAAGCTTTTAGGTGTCAGAGTCACACATAAGACTCAGGTCTGTCAGACTCTGAAATCTATGCTCTTAATCCCTGTGCTATGAAGAGGGAAAATCCAATTTAACCTTTAAGGCCAATCTCAAATCCAATTTAAACCTTTCCTGTTTAGAGCTCTGGCACTTTGTACTCCTCTGTGGTTCCAGTTTCATTCTTTATATCCTAGGCATGCTTTTCCCATAATAAAGGCTTTATTGCTGATCACTACAATGGGAGAAATAAACCAAAGCTAACAGACATAGATATGGGTAAACCACCAATGTTAATAGCTTATTTTTGTGTGTTTCTTTGTTGCCCAGAAAGAGACAAAGACTTGCTCAAAGTTACAGACCATCACATGACCCTTTCCCTTAGAAAGCATCCTTTCTATTTGAGAAGCCAAAAATAACGCATGGGGTAGATGTTCTATTAGTTTTTGAAATTCTGCAAGTTTGGTATTTTTATTAAACTAATTTTCCAAAAAAGGAAACTGAAGCTCATAGGTTAAGTAACTGCCCAAAGCAGAGGTGAAGTGGAATTTGAATTCAGGCTTCTTTGACATCAAACTTCGTGATCTTTCCCCTATACTTCAGGGCAACAAAGCTTAAGAGATTTTATAAAGTTCTTTTTTTTTTTTTAAGATTTTATTTATTTATTTGATAGAGAGAGTGAGAGAGCACAAGCAGGGGGAGCAGCAGAAGGAGAGGGAGAAGCAGGCTCCCAGCCAAACAGGGAGCCTGACACAGGGCTCGATCCCAGGACCCTAGGACCACGACCTGAGCCGAAGGCAGACGCTTAACCATCTGAGCCACCCAGACGCCCTGAGATTTTATAAAGTTCTTAAAGAAATTCTACCATAATTTAAAGAGATCTTGACTAGGGTTTTCTAATTTCATTTCAGAAGTTTAATTTTTTTAAACTTCTCAATTTGTCTGCATCTGCACTATCATTCCCCTACCTTTTCTTCAGAGTTGGCAGGAAGAGGGTGGGGTATGTCAATAAGACTTTCTAGAGGAAGTGACATTTAAGTGAGATCTAAAGGATCAACAGGAATTAGTAGGGGCAGGTAGAGTGGATAACAACGAGTGTTGCAGAAGTACATTTCTGGAAGTGAAACAACTTCAGTACACAATGGCCAAAGGAAGGGTTATAATGAGAGTACTCATGGTTTAGACTAGAGAGGTAACCAGGAGCCTGATCATGAAGAGCCATTGAAAACCATTCTAAGAAGTTTGGGTTTCATTATGAGGACAATGGGGACATGGAAGTGTTTTAAACTGGGAAGAAAGGTGATCAGATTTGTGTTTTAGGTAGAGCACTCACTGAAAGTGGGTGAAGAATTAGAAGGGATGAGTCTGGTAACAGATCAATTAGGACCATGGACTAACTCTTCAAAAATGGTTAAACTGAATTGAAAACCTGACAGGGGCACCTGGGTGGCTCAGTCGTTGGGCGTCTGCCTTTGGCTCAGGTCATGATCCTGGGGTCCTGGGATCAAGCCCCGCATCGGGCTCTCTGTTCAGCGCGGGGGGTCTGCTTCTCCCTCTCCCATTCCCCCTGCTTATGTTCCCTCTCTCACTGTCCCTCTCTCTCTATGTCAAATAAATAAATAAAATCTTAAAAAAAAAAAAGAAAGAAAAACGGACAAATTGTTGGGGGGATAAGCATAGAGAAGATTAGGGGAAGAAGGGATAGAGGAACAGGTTATCACAAAACTTATCCCTCCCTAAATAGAGGCAATCTTGTCTGTGATTTCAGAATGAAACTTTCCTCTAGAGCTACAATTCATTTTTTTCCAGGTAGCCATGTATTTTTTCAACAAATATTACTGACCACCTTCTAAAAGTTAGGCAGTGTTTTAGGCCTGGGGATACAACAAAGCAAAGTCTTTGTCCTCATGTAGCTTACATTTTTTTCCCCCTTAGAGAGGAGCAGTCAGAAGATTAAAAGAAATAAAATAAATAGCATGACAAATAGTGTTAAGTTTGAAAGCAGAGCAAAAGGGACAAGCAGTATGGGGATGGTGTGGTGATGCAGGTGAAGATTGCTATTTAATGTATCCCAGCCAGGGAAGTCTTTATTGATAAGGCAGTATTTGAGCAAAAACTTGAAGGAGGTAAGAGAGCCATCCATGAGAATAGCAAGGAGTCCAACAGAGCTGGGGTGGAATAAGCACAGGGGAGAATGGCAGAAGGGGAAGGGAGAGAAGGGCATGAAGAGAACAGACTATGTAGAATCTTATAGATTCCAGATAGGAGGATATTGTAAAAATCCAAGTGGGCAGTGACAGGCACTTGGCCTGGGGAAGAGGTAAGACATAGTCTCTAGATATATTTTGAAGATAGAACCAACAGAATTTCTTACCGGATAGGAGGGGGGATATAAGAATAAAAGATGAGGGGGCACCTGGCTGGCTCAGTTAGGAGAGCATGGGACTCTTGATCTTGCAGTCGTGAGTTCAAGCCCCATGTTGGGCGTAGCGCATACTTCAAAAAAAAAAAGGGGGGGGGCACCTGAGAAGGCGCCTGCCTCTGGCTCAGATCATGATCCAAGGGTCCTGGGATCGAGTCCTGCTTCAGGCTCCCTGTTCAACATGGAGTCTGCTTCTCCCTCTCTCTCTGCCCCTTCCCACTGCTCATGCACGCACTCTCTCTCTCAAATAAATAAATAAAATCTTTTTAAATATTAGAAAACAAGAATAAAAGAAGAGTTAAAATGATTTCCAAGATTTTATAAGCAACTGAAATGAAGAAGTTGGCATATCCTGAAATAGGAAAGACTGACAAGAAAAGCAAGTTAGGGAAGGATATCAAGAGTTTACTTTTGGACACATTAAGCCTGTTTACATAACCAGGTGGATATGTTGAATAGACAGCTGGATATGAGTCTGAAGTTTTAAAGTGAGGCATAGGGTGGACATATTAAAATAGGGATACATCAGCATATAGATTGCTTTTAAAATTGTGAAACTAGATAAAATCCCCATGAGTAAAAGAGAATGGATAGAGGAGAGGTATACAAGTGTTAAGTCCTGGCATACACAAAGATGTAGAACTCTGGAATCAAGAGGATGAGAAGGAGCAGCCAATGAGGTAGGAGGAAGAGAGAAAGAAAGAAGAAGGAGGTAGGGATGGGAGGGGAGGAAGAGATGCGTTCTGGAGGCCAAATGAAAGTATTTTAAAGAAGAAGAAATCACTTGGGTCAAATGCTGCTGAATTGTCAAGACAAAGAAAGAAAAGTGACCACTGAATTTAGCAACTTGGAAGTTGACAAGAACTGTTTAATGGAGTGGTCAGGGTGAAAGCAAATGGTAAGAGACAGTGAATACAGACCATACTATGGAGAAGCTTTGCTGTAAAGCATAGAACAGATATGGGGGTAATACCTTGTCAAAAGTTCAGAAATAATTGAAGTAAAACCAATGAATCACCAAAGTAGTGATTAGTAAAAGTTTATTGTGCACACCAAAACTTTGCAAACCAAGAGCACTCAAGACCAAAATATGGATTGAGGTTCAGGGGTTATAAAGCCGCTTATATAGTGAGAAAGCAGGGATTGTTTACTCTTCACAGTGGTTGGTTATAATACTAGAGTTTTCTTAAATGATAGGGAATTGGTCAGTGGTTACCACATAGGAACCTTGGGAAACAGTTTAAGTTCTGTGGGTTGGTTTTTTTTTTTTTAAGATTTTATTTATTTATTTGACAGAGAGAGAGAGTGAGCGCGAGCACACAAGCAGGGGGAGCAGAAGAGGGAGAGAGAGAAGCAGGCTCTCAGCCGAGCAGGGAGCCCAATGCTGGGCTTGATCCCAGGACCCTGGGACATGACCTGAGCCGAAGGCAGATGCTTAACAGACTGAGCCATGCAGGCACCCCAAGTTTAAGTTTTGCTTATGATTTTCAGAAGCATAGGCAAGAAATGACCTAGGTTAAGTTAGCTTTGCAAAATAAGCTAAAGTAAACTGTTTTTTTCTGTTCAGGGAATTTTCAAAGCTGGTCTCCATTTGTTTCGATTTTAACAACCTGAATAGAGAAATTAGGTTAAAAGAAGTATTTTTGTTTTTAATTATGGGAAAAGTATCAGTTTGACTTACTTATTTTTAAAAGATACTTATTTATATATATATTTGAGAGAGGGCACACAAGCAGGGAGGAGGAGCAAAGGGATAGGGAGAAGTAGACTCCCCGCTGAGCAGGGAGCCCAATGCAGGGTCCATCCCAGGACCCTGGGATCATGACCTGAGTCCAAGGCAGACGCTTTCACTGACTGAGCCATCCAAGTGTCCCAATTTTTAATTTTTTAAAAAATATTTTATTTTTAAGCAATCTCTGCACCCAAAGTGGGGCTGGAACTTAACAACCAAAATCAAGAGTCCCACGCTGCACTGACTTAGCCAGCCAGGCACCCCTCAGTTTGTTTGTATGCTGTGGCGATGATCCAAGAAAGAGGGAAAAAATGATAATGCAGGAGTAAGAAAGGATGCTGCTGGATGATATCTTTGAGTAAGCAAGAGGGGATGAGATCTAGTGGACAAGTCCAAGTGCAGGAGTCGGCCTTAGGTAAGAGCAAAATAGGTGATAGTAATAGGTGGTAAGGCAAAGCCAGCCAATACATATAGGTGGGTAGATGTGATGGCGGTAGCTTGGTACGATCTTTTTTTTTTAATTGCTTTTCTTTTTTCAATAAAACAGGCAGCTGAGAATATGGTTGGGGGAGGAGGTGTTGGAAGTTTGAGGATAGAGAAGTTATGAAATAGTCCACTGAAAACCCCCCGAACATTTACTGGCTAGAAGTTAGAAAACTGGATTTTGACTGTCAGGTTTTCCACTCATCAGGTGGGTACAATTTACCTTGTCTATTCAACCTCTCAGGTGTTCAGTTTCTCTGTGGGTAAAACGGAGATACCTACTGAGAAGATTTTTTTTTTTTTTGTATGAGGATTAAATAAAAGAATAAATGTGAAAGGAAAGCATTTTGCAAAGTATTTGTACTTTGAATCCACTTATCAAGGACTTGCTTATTATGTTTTTTATGTACATTATCTTGTTTAATCTTTACATCAACTCTGTGTGCTAACACATTCTTACCCTACTTTACCAAAAGGGATGTTGCGTTTCAGAGAAATTAAGACTCTTGCCCAAGGTTTACAACTTAGTAGATAGGGCTGAGCAGGCATTCCAATCCAGGATTCAAATCCAAGTTTCATACTCTTATAGAACTACCCTTTTCAAGACATATTTTTTCTTAAATTAGCTAAAGTGTACTAATTTACTGCTCTTTAAGGGTTTATTTCTTGGAGCAGGTTATAAGGATCTTCTTGGAACCTTGTAGGTTAGAAGAAAGTGGACTAGTTCATTTTGTGGACCTAAGAGGTCAGAAGTGGTTTTGGTATTTGATTCCTCCAATGTCAGTAGGAGTTGAAACAGAGAAGGCTGATATAACAGAGGTGCCTGTGCAGGAGTTTTAGGAGAAAGGTCTTTAAAATATGTATTTTTTAAATATTACATTAAAATATAAATATTTTTAATATATACATATTCTACAGGTGCCTGGCTGACTCAGTGGGTACAGTATGCAACTTTCTTTTTTCCTAGATTTTATTTATTTCACAGAGAGAGACACAGCGGAAGAGGGAACACAAGCAGGGGGAGTGGAAGAGGGAGAGGCAGGCTCCCACCGAGCAGGGAGCCCCATGCGGGGCTGGATCCCAGCAATCTGGGATCATGACCTGAGCCAAAGGCAGACGCTTAACGACTGAGCCAGCCAGGCGCCCCAGTATGTGACTCTTGACCTTAGGTCCTGAGTTCGAGCCTCACGATGGGTATAGAGATGACGAAAACAAAAATAAAAACATATTCTACTTCCCAACTTCATTGAAGTGGTCTGTGGGCAGGCTTTAGAGGGGCGCCAGGAACGCGCGATCAGTCTTTGAGGTGTGGGTTTGAGGGAAGTTGGTCTCACTCAGAGGGGTGAGTAGAAGTTGGGTGAGTGGCACAGCAGGTATTAAGCTGCTTGCGATGGGGTGCCCGAAGGGGTGCACTTGGGCCCTGAGAGGGTGGGGTAGTGGTCGGCTTTGTGGGGGGAGGGGAGGATAGGCGAGGGGCGAGCCCTCCTGGGGGCGGGGTCTGCGGCGGTCAGGCCTCCGCGGGAGGGGCGAGGCTGCGGCGGGCGCGTGCGCGCCGCCACGCCGGGCGTTTCAAAACTCTTGCGGCCGACGGAGTGGCGTGAGGGCTGCGTGCTCTGCTAGGAGCCGGCGCGGCTCCGGCTGCTTCCCGGCTGGAGTCGACTCGTCTCGCGGGATCCGGGTCCCGGCTCGACGCCCGCTCTCTCCTGACGCCCCACCGAAGGGGGTCGCCATGGTTCACTTCTTGCACCCCGGCCTCTCGCCCCGGACCATCGAACCTCCTGACGCTCAGAAGGATGCGCTGGGTTGCTGCGTGGTGCAGGTGAGCACGGGGGCGGGGACGCGGACCTCGGCGGGACGCCACGGCCGTCAGGGAGTCGTCGGGGACTGCGCGGAGGCACTTGCTGGTTCGTTTGCCCGACGCGGGGGGAAAGTCTGAAAGGCTGAGCCGCGGCTGGGCTCCTGTCGTCGCTGGGAAAGTGCTTGCTGGAAGGGAGTTTTCTGCCCGGGGCGTCCCAGCCTCCGGGCGGAGCGCGCTGACCTCGCGCCTTAGCGTGGAGGCGCGGCGCGGGCGAGTGCCGCCCCCCGGGTGACCTTGGGGAGGGGGTAGTCCTCTCCTCCGGTCTCCGACTTTCACCTGTGTTTGCGGAAGGCAGCCGGTCTTTTGCAGGGTGGGGTAAGTTTGGACGTAAGCTCTGGTCGTAGCACTAGGCTTGGCCGGCAGTAGACGGTGGCGCTTATTACTGTCAAAATGGAGCCAAATGCCCCAAACCTCGACCTTACTGCCACGTGCGTTGTGGGCGTGGTACCCCACAGAGGCTGTGACCCAGCAGCCCCTATTACCCGAGGCCTTGGGCCTGGCAGCTCTAACTGGAAGGCCCTCCTGAGCCCGGCGGGGAGAACTGGAACCCCAAGACTGAAATTCCTTCATTTCACGTGTTCTCCCCCCACCCCAGCGGAATTCCTATTAAACTAAACTTACCAAATGCAAACCGAAAGAGTGTATTTGCTGCTTACTGTGTGTTAAGTGTCTCGTTTCTAGAGTAATTTGGTTATCTCCTGTCTTTTGTAGGCATTGATAGTCTCTATTTTACTGGTGTAGATCCCAGGAACCCTCTTTTACTAGAGTGTAGAGAAGTTGAGAACTCTGAAAGTTAGTTGATTTGCTCAAGAACCTGAACCTGACATCAGGTGTTCTGAAGTCAGACTCCACATTCTACAGCGCCTCAAGGGTCACCCTCGTAGAACTCAAAATCTAGTGAAGGCTCTAGTGAACCTAAAATACGGAGGGAAGGAAATATTCACTGAGGTTGTACTTTGCATACAACGCCTTGTTGGAAGGCTTTTGTGCCCTGCAAAGATCTTGCCTGTGCTCCTGTACTTTTTTGGACTCACTTTTATTTTTTTTTTTTATTTTTTTATTTTTTTATTTTTTTAAAGATTTTATTTATTTATTTGAGACAGAGAGAATGAGAGACAGAGAGCATGAGAGGGAGGAGGGTCAGAGGGAGAAGCAGACTCCCTGCCGAGCAGGGAGCCCGATGCGGGACTCGATCCCGGGATTCCAGGATCATGACCTGAGCCGAAGGCAGTCGCTTAACCAACTGAGCCACCCAGGCGCCCTGGACTCACTTTTAAATGCTGGCATATGATTTGTAAATTTGTTTGTACCTAATAGAAAAGCTGAGATTTTAAGCGTGTGCTAGCGCAGTATCTCAAGCACATTTTTTGTTGCCGCTGCCTGAAATTAAAACAAATTTCCTTAGAAAAGTGATCAACCCGTTTTCTGTCTGGTTCCATAGTGTACTGTATACAGTCGTTTTATTTTTAAGATTTTATTTTTAATTAATTTTAAAAATACAATGCACGAATACATTTTCACTTATGATATCTGTTTCTCCATTTGTCTATGTTGCTTTTATGTGTTGTGGGTTTTTTTTTTTTTTTTAATATTTTTATTTATTTATTCATGAGAGACAGAGAGAGAGAGAGAGGCAGAGGGAGAAGCAGGCTCCCAAGGAGCAGGGAGCCCGATGCGGGACTCAATCCCAGGACTCTGGGATCATGACCTGAACTGAAGGCAGACGCTTAACCATCTGAGCCACCCAGGCGCCCTGTGTTGTGGTTTTTGATATAAAGGTCTTTCACATATTTTGTTAAATTGATCTCTATTTTTGATACTGTAAATATTTTTAAAAACAATACAATTTTTTTCCTTTTTTTGGTTTATTGATCTTGTGTTCTCCAACCTGCTAGGTTCACTTTTCTCTAGGTTTTTTTTTTTTTTTTTAGATTTCTTAAGGTTTTCTTCACAATCATGTCTTCAGCAAATAAAGACAACTTTACTTTATTCCCTTTTAGTTCAGCTTTTTTTTTTTTTAAGTCTATGCTTTTTATTTCCTTTCCCTTTTTTTTTTTTAAGATTTTATTTATTTATTTGGAGTGGGGTGAACACAGGCTAGAGTGAGAGAGAGAAGCAGACTCCCCTCCAAGCAGAGAGCCGGAGGCGGGGCTCCATCCCAGGACCCGGAGATCATGACCGGAGCTGAAGGCGGACGCCCAACCGACTGAGCCACCCAGGCGCCCCCTTGCTTCCTTTTTCTAAATTGCATTTTCTAGGACCTTTGTAGAACGTTGAAGTTGTGAGAGTAGACATCTTTGTATTCTAGATCTTTCACCTTTAAGTATGATACTGGCTGTAGGTTTTTCCATAGATGCCCTTTATCAAATTAAGGAAGATTTCTTCTATTTTTGATAGAAATAGAAATGGATTTTATTGTGAATTTAACTTTACATTCTAGGAATAATCCCCACCTGGTCATGATGTATTTTTTATATATCACAGGATTCTATTTACTGATATTTTGTTAAGTATTTTTATGTCCATGTTTATGAGGAAAATTGCTCTTCAGAAATATTTTATCTAGTTTTAGTATTAGGATAATGCTAGCCTGAAAATATGAATTGGGAAATGTCCCCTATTGAAATTCTTTTTTCCTATTCAATTTTTTTGGTTTGTGGAACATGGGTATTCTTTTTTTTTTTTAATAATTTTTTTCTTTCTTTTTTTTAAGATTTTATTTATTTATTTGAGAGAGTCGGAGAGAGAGCGGGGTGGAGGGGCAAAGGGAGAGAGGGTTTTTTTTTTTTTTTTTAAAGATTTTATTTATGTATTTGACAGAGAGACAGCGAGAGAGGGAACACAAGCAGGGGGAGTGAGAGAGGGAGAAGCAGGCTTCCCGCCAAGCAGAGAGCCTGATGTGGGGTTCGATCCCAGTACTCTGGGATCATGACCTTAGCAGAAGGCAGATGCTTAACGACTGAGCCGCCCAGGCGCCCCAGGAGAGAGGGTCTTAAGCAGACCCTGAGCTGAGTGCGGAGCCCAGTGTGGAGCTCGATCTCACAACCCTGAGATCATGACCTGAGCGGAAATCAAGAGTCCGGCGCTTAACCAACTGCGCCATGCAGGCACCTCCTATTTATTTCTTTAAGTAAACTCTACCTCCATTGTGGGGCTTGAACTCAACCCCAAGATTATTTCTTCCTTTGATGTTTAATAGAACTCACCAGTGAAGCCATTGAGACTTGAATTTCTTTGGGAGAGCTATTCATATACTTTCATTTTATATTTATAAAAGGGTCAATTTATCAAGAAGTGCACACACATTTAGGAATGTTATGTCTAACAGATTGTCAGTTTTTTTTTTTAAAGATTTTATTTATTTATTTGAGAGAGAGAATGAGAGACAGAGAGCACAAGAGGGAAGAGGGTCAGAGGGAGAAGCAGACCCCCCGCTGAACAGGGAGCCCGATGTGGGACTCGATCCGGGGACTCCAGGATCATGACCTGAGCCGAAGGCAGTCGCTTAACCAACTGAGCCACCCAGGCGCCCCTAGTTTGTTATTCTAGTAATTTCCGTATTTCATCTGAATTACCAAATTTATTGGCAAAATTGTTCACACAATTCCTTTATTATCCTTTTAATGCTTATAGGATCTGTAATGACGTTCAGTCTTTTGTTCCTGGTATTGGTGTTTTCTCTTTTTTCTTTCTCTTAGTCTTTGTACTTAGGGATTTGGTAATAAGTTTTTTTGAAGAACTGACTTTTGGCTTTGATTTATATCCATTGTACATCTGTTTTCTCTTATTTCTGCTCCTGTCTTTATAGTTTCTTATGTTTACTCTGGGTTTAACTTACTCTCTTTTTTATCTTTTTAAGGTGGGAACTTAGGTCATTAATTTTGTATCTTTCTTGTTTATAATAGAAACATTTAGAGCAGGGCACCTGGGTGGCTCAGTTGTTAAGCATCTGCCTTCGGCTCAGGTCATGATCCTGGGATCCTGGGATCGAGCTCTGCATCAGGCTCCCTGCTCAGCGGGAAGCCTGCTTCTCCCTTTCCCCCTGCTTGTGTTCCCTCTCTCGCTGTGTCTCTCTCTGTCAAATAAATAAATAAAATCTTTAAAAAAAAAAAAAAAAGAAAGAAAGAAAAACATTTAGAGCTATACATTTCCTCTAACACAGCTTTGGTTAATACCCATAAATTCTGACACATTGTTCAAATTATTTTCTAATTTCCATTATGAGATCTTATTTGAGCCATGGGATATTTAGAAATGTATTGCTTCATTACCAAACAGTTGGGGATATTTCACAATTGTTTTTAAATTGATTTCTAATGTAATTGTTGTCAGAGAACTATGATCATAGAACTCTGATTTTAATCCATTTATATTTATTGAGATTTGTTTTATGGCTCAGATATGGTCTATCCTGGTGCACATTCATGTGCACTTAAAGAATAATATTGTACATTTGGATATAATATTCTATGAATGTCAGGTCAAGTTGGTTGATAATATTAGTTTTCTATATTCTTACTCATTTTCCAACTACTTGTTTTTTATCAATTGCTGAAGATGAGTGTTTATTTCCAAATGTAATTGTGGATTTTTCTTTTTATTCTTTCAGTTTTTGCCTCATGAATTTTAAAGCTGTTAGTAAGTGCATATACATTTAGGAAGTATGTCTTCTTGATGAATTAATCCTTTTATTTTTATGATTTCTGGTAATATTCTTGCCCAGAAGCCTTCTTCTTTTGACACTAATACAGTTAACTCCATTTTCCATATGATTAGGGTTTAACAGTCTTGTATTGTTTGTTTAAAGCACATCTCTTGTAAACAAAAGTCTTTTTTATCCAGTTTGACAATGTGTGCCTTTTAAATTAGAGTAAATGTAATTACTCAAAATTGTGAGGTTTAAGACTACTATGTTGCTATTCGTGTTCTATTTGTCCTGTTGTTTGTTGTCTTGTTTCTTC